GAGCTAATTTATATTTAAATCCATAACTTAATACACAAACAAAATGGAAGCACCATTCAAATTAAGTTCTCAACTGTTGGGCAGAAATAATAGCGATAAGTTAAGCATAACAGGGATTATCTCTATACAATGAGTAATTTGAATATCTACTTTTTTTAATCAAATCACGTCACACAGCTCTTAAAAAAATAATAGCAGGATGAGTCAGTGTTAAAACTAATTGTATTTGGGGTCAAAACGCTGCATTTATTATACGTCAGAAGCCTAGGAAGCAGGGTGGGCAGAGAATTTTTTAATTTATTTGTGGAGGGGGAAGACAATGTCACACCTGAATTGATATAACTTAATAAGTATGAAATATACTGTATATTATTTATATTTCCAATATTCCCAGACAGTGCATTGGCCAATGAGTGTTAGAAATTATGTGAAAATTATTTCTGCAAAGGTTCTCTTAAAATGAATGAGGATGTTGAAAGCCATAACAGACAAAGGCAGGATTAAGAGTGACGGGCGTGTAATATATTTTTGTCCCTGAGTTTTTCTCACTCCAGTATCCAAAATATATTTTAAAAAATGCAGTTTTGTAACAATGGAAACAACTTGTAATTTGTAACAAGTGCAAAAATTCCACAAATGTACATGAATATCCTCAAAGTAAAAGGTTCACTCACCTCATCCACATGACAAGGTCCACTGTAATGTTGGTCCCAGTGCCGGGTTGCTGGCTTGAGGGAGTAGGCAAGCGCCCCCCCACCCCCTCCCAACCTGTGACCTCGCTCCCTCGCCTGCTCTATGAAACACACTCTCTCTTTGGTCTTCTATCTATTGTATTCAGCTTTCTTCCTGTGTATGTTTTATAAGGATTTTTAAGATTTATTTAGTTCAATACATTGTTTTTCATTTTATTTCATATTATTTTGTATTTGTGAAGAACACAAAGGTCTATTTATAACCACATGTTCAAACAAACTGCTGACACTTGCTGTCTGGACTTGAACACCATGAGACACCCAGATGACACCTGACACCCCACACACATGGAGCTGCAGTGTGAGTCAGCGTCTTCAGATAAGAAATTAAAATTAGAGAGGGGGAAAGAAGTGACTTCAGGTGTGAATGTTTTACTTTTAAAAAAANTGTCATTTTGTCTAGGAATATTTTCAATTCAAACAAAACTAACTTTAGTATAAATTTTCTCCTAAATCTCCGTGGTGATTTTGTGGCACATGTGTAAAAGAATATGTAAAAGCATACGTGACTAACTATTTAAACTTTAAAAAAAGAGGCTGGACATTATATAACAATTCAAATGACTAAAGTAAAAGCCATTGATTAGTTACCTGCTGAGATTATACAAAGTAATCTGTCAAAATGAATTAGCCACAGGTGGGTTTCATAATGCACCATTTAAAATGTTGAAGTAAGATCTCTTTAAAAGACACTTCAACAAGTTCAAAATAAAGTGCACTGAAATCAATACTTTCTCAGAATCAAAGACCCTTTTCTGTAAAGCAAATGGATGCAATGAAAAGTAAGACCACTGCCTGTGGTCTAATTGGTGACTTACTGCTAAGTTGTAGGATAGCCCTCTGACAATGACTGACACTGTTCAGTGAGACAAAGTTGGTCTGCAGCTTCCCACCTACTATAAGTTTCCAGCAATGTGAAACAAGATTCCACGGCTGTAAACCCTGGTCCCAAAACATTTTGTCAAAGATCTTTATCACAGTCAGCCAGAAGCATCTGATTAGATGAGATGTAATGGATTACAGTATTTCAAATAGGAAGGATTTGATTTGTCAATCCATCATAATCTGTTTCAACTGGGAAGGAGTCTTTAGGTAAATCTCTGACATGTGAATGCTAGTTAATGACTCTGGTCCATAAATAGGTTTCATTATTTACAGAAGCAAAGGATTTTGTAATTTGTTTTCTCACATTTATAAGGCAATTTGGCAGGTGAATGTCACAGTTCCATCATGTAAGTAAAATATTTGCAGAATTAACCACAATATTCTGGTCAATGAACATGGGGATTTCTTCTGCAAGTGGGCATTACTAAAGTTGTAGACTGGATTAAAAAAGGGGAGGGAATTGTAAAAATGTCCTTTCTGATGTCACTTCCAGTCCAGAGCTGGTGTACACAAAGTAAAGGTGTCCATCAGGAAGCGCCGTCCTTCAGCTGAAACATTAAACTGAGGACATGCCTGCCTGTTCAAGTGCATGTTAAACATCCCATAGCACTATTTAAAAAGAGAAGGGAGATACTCCCAGTATCCTAGCCAACAATTCCCCAAATAAGATTGACCATTCACTTTATGGCTGTTTGTAGTATGTTGCTGCGTATAAATCGGCTTCCGGATTTGCCACAAAATCCACAGTCTCTGCATTTTAGAGTAAAATCCTGTGAAAGGCACTAAATAAATATAAGGATTACAGTCAATTCCTGATAACTTGTCACTCAATGACAAGTTATCCAGAGTGGTGAGTTAGTCATATGTCTAAATACATAAATAAATGCAGCCAGAATATTGATAGCATAATGACTTAAGAGGTAGTAACAAGCTAAGCTAGGGTCAAGTTACCGTATTATTATTATTAATTAGTTAGTAAGTGCTGAGTTTGCTGTGGATTTTTTTTTGACGGGTTTGGGAGTCTGAGCAGAGCCAGGGTGAGTTTTGGAAATTTTATTTTGTGTGTTTATTAAGTTTAATTTTATGTCAATTACATTTAATTTTCTTCAGTTTAGGTACTATGTACAATGTTTAAGTTTAGTGTTCACAGTTATAGGATTAGAAATATAAAAGTCTTCCTAGTTAAAATTTGGAGCAGATATTATTTTATCCTCATCCACCACCTCTCCTCTCACCTCAACCTTCATGGTTCTGTCCTTGAATGGTTCAGATCCTACATCTCACACCATCTCTTCGTTCACCCACAAATATACAGTCAATTCACCCACAAATTTGTTCGCCCACAAATATACAGTCAATTCGCTTTAGTGTGTTCTGTGAAGCGCTTTGGGACGTCCTCCCGACGTGAAAAGCGCTATATCAAATGCAAGGATTATTATTATTATTATAATCCCTCCAAAAAAACAAAACAATAATAAATTGTTCATTTTCAATCTACGACTGTTTGTGGAACACTGCTGTGCGCAATTGGCTACCGCATTCGCCCACAAATATACAGTCAATTCACTTTACAGTATATTCTGTGAAGCACTTTGAGACGTCTAGAAGACGTGAAAAGTGCTATATCAAATGCAAGGATTATTATTATTATTATCTCCACTTCTTCTCCACAAACAGTTTCTCCTCTTGCTCCTGCACCATCACATGCGGCGTTCCTCAGGGCTCTGTCCTTGGTCCCCTCCTCTTCAACATCTATATGCTCCCGCTTGGTGACATCATCTGCAGACGTAGGATCAAGTTCCACATGTATGCAGATGACACCCAACTGTATCTCTCTGCCTCCATCCTTGACTCCAGGACCACTGCTGTCCTGACAGAATATCTGTCAGACATCAAGTCCTGGAAGAGAGCTCACTTTCTTCAGTTGAACGTCAACAAGACCGAGGCCCTCCTGATTGGCTCCTGTCATCGCCTCCACATCATCATCATCCAAGGATGCACACTTCCTCCATAAACTGCAGATCATCCAGAACTCTGTAGCCCGTGTCCTCTCCCGCACTAGGCTCTGTGACACTATCACCCCCATCCTCGCCCAACTCCACTAACTTCCCATCACACAGAGGATACAGTTCAAGATCCTGGTCCTCACCTTCAAAGCCCTCCATGGCCTCGCTCACCCCCACCTCTGGGACCTCCGAAACCCCTACCAACCTGCCCGTTCGCCTCACCCACGCCACCATTGGTGAGTGGGCCTTCAGCCAGTCTGCTCCCACCCTCTGGAACTCCATGCCACAGTCCCTTTGCCTCACCTCTCCCTTTCCGCCTTCAAGACCCATCTCAAGACCCTCCTTCGACCGTACCTTCGATCACCCTCCTTCCTCCCCTGCCCTCCACTCTCCCCATTTCCAACCCCCAGTTCGGGTTCGAAACACTAACTGTCCAGCACCTTGGGACGTCCTGCGGATGTGAAAGGTGCTTTACAAATATAATTTTGTTGTTATTTTATTTTACTCTGGTGGAACTTTGCTTTTAAACGAAGACCTGTACTATTTTCACAATTTATTTAGACCTTGGTTTAAAAGCCGGTGGTTAGACACTATGCAATTTTTCACTTGGTGTAAATGGATGTTTCTGTGAGTTTCAGAGTTCTATCAATGCTCACAGTGGAAATTTGTAATGATTGTCTATTTGATATATTTAATCATAACAACATAAGAAATACTAGAAGAAAAAAGACCAAGGTCCATCTACTTCACCTTCCACTTTTGCGGTTGCATGGACATATGTCCCAAACTACCTATGTACTATATCCCATAATGTTATTTTCTAAAAGAAAATTATCTAATCTGTGTTTGAAATAATCAACACTTCATCAAATTATATAAGATGCATGTTTTACAGATACCAAAATTGTAATTATTATGATTAAGGTGTTTGTGTACTAAATATTCAATAAAGAATTTTCTTGAATGTACCAATGGGATAGAACACTCTGAATTATTATGTACTACGTGGAAACCGTGTGCAAAGCTAGGTGTCTTCCCGACGTGAAAGGCGCTCTATAAATGCAATCTTGTTGTTGTTGTTGGTGTAATATTCACCATGTGTAAAATACATGGGTACAGAGGGAATTGCAGGTTCCTTTAATTATGTAATGAACAATTTCCTACTTTAAGAGGAAGAAATAATTTGGTTATCCATGTAATTATATAACCTGCTACTCTAACGCAAATAAAACATGGATCGTGCCTGTGCTGGCTCTTTGAAAGAGCCGGCACAGGCACGAATGGTCTCCTTCTGTGCTGTAAGATTCTATGATTCTAAATCATTTGAGTACAAGTTTCCATATGAGAGAGTACCTACCACGCAGCATTATCCTTCAACCTCTCTTCAATGTCACCCAGCGCCAAATCCAGGTCACCTGGTAAAGTGTCCAAGAAACAATCTGAGCAGGAATGATCCAATAGGTAATCACCTTCCCATTCCATTATCAATACCTGAAAGTACAAATGCATAGTGATGATTTAACAATGATATACAAATAAATAAGTAACAATCTTGACAAAAGGCAATGCAGGAAATTGCATATTGCATCTCTAAGTTAACATTTCCTATGAAATGGTCTCCAATTTTAGATTCATCATAATAAGTAGGATTTGAACACCATAAAGGTTGCTCTGTCTCATAGTGATTGTTTGAGAATACAACAACAACAACTTGGGTTTATATAGCGCCCTCCTCGTTGGACGGCATCTCAGAGCGCTTCACAGTAACGGATCCCAAGGCTGAGCCAGGGGGAGGGGGAGGAAGGTGAGGAAGGCGCGGTCGAAAAGAAAAGAAATAGTAGTGAAATATCATATTATTTTGTTTAGCTTACTAAATTCTGTTATACATTTAAGTAAAAATGGTTCCTCTCAGCAGTTTATTAAAAAACAGTTCATGAAGTTACATTAACCAATCAGTGCAGAACCTTGCTAATAACAACTTGCATTTATATAGCACCCTTCAGGCAGGGCAGGATCTCGGAGTGCTTATTGCTGTATAGTACTCATTGTTTAGCATATTAACAAGCAGAGATTTAGACAACTGATTGCTGGAAGATACAAAATAATTGCCAATGTGTTGACCCAAAACGTCACTGAAACCTGATCAGACACTCGTGACAGAAATCGTGTGAAACCGTCACAGATAATTGTCATGTGTGTAAATACATGACAATTCTCACAATTCTACCAAGAGTGCTTAAAACCCATGACACTCACACACTCTCCCTTCCACTCTCATTCTCTCTCACACACACACGCTCTCATGCCCAGCTACAAATGAGAGAACCATGCTCAGCTTGGAATGAGAGACGTTTCTTTTAATTTCATAGAAGTATCATTTACAGTCTAGGAGTTCCAAGCCAGAGAGTAATAATAATAAGAGACAACTCAAAGTGCTTCACAGAATATACTGTAAAGTTGATTGACTGTATATTTTGCGAGCAAAATGCGTCAGCCAATCGACTGACCGGGTTCCTACTTACTGCGAGGTAAAAGAGTAACTTCTGTTCTAATACTGCAGTTTCTGGATTCATTAATGTCTTCTAATTTTTAATGCTTGGAAACTAATTTTCACCGTCTCCAAGAAGTCTAGTCTTTAGCTCATTTTGAACACCAAATTCACCATTTTTTTTAACACCAATATTTTATATCAGCAGTGTTCTACAGTGTTTTGGTACCTTTTGAGATCAATGGTGTGCTAAATTTATTTACCCACAACCTTTAAATTTAAATCTCTCCTGTGTGATGTTTTAGATATGCACTGAAAACCAGATTCAAAACAGAGAGCATCTGTCAATTGAGTTGATATCAAAATTGCATCTTATGCTCTGAGAGCACGCAGCTTAGGGGTATTGACACGATTGACAGCTCCTCTACTTTGGTTCTAGTGCACAATGTGCATCAAATAATCTCACTGCACTTATTCAATTAAACCTTCAATGATTTAAGTAGTAGTTCTGTACCAATTAAACTATATTCTTTTCAGCTGATTAATACCAAGGTCAAGGAAACTAAAGCAATTCATATTTTTATATAATACTACACGACAAATATGTAAATGTAATTTTAACCAATGTGGCAGGGTAGAATCATGTGCTGGTTTTGAAAGCTGAAATAAGCTTTTGAAGGGTTTGAATGCCTCTTGTTAAGGGAAATTTAAATAAGTTAGAGGAACACAAGTACAATATGGATTGGTGCAGTACTTACAAAAGGAGAATTAAATATAATATACAGAGGCATATGCAGGTTTGATTCCCAGTCCTTCCTGAGTTGATCACAGTAAGGGATGGAGTTGGAATACTTCAATTTGCTAGTCTTGGCTAGGGGTGAGGAAGGAGGGGTAAAGATCAGACACCGTGTCTGCTACTAATCAATGATCCCTATTAGAAAGTACGCATGTAAGAATATCTGAAGCCTGAAATTCCACATAGCCCCAGATCATTAGAACATTTTACCTTGAAATTTAAGATCGCACAGAATTGTGAAAAATTCTTAATTTATAAGCCAATTATTTTTAAAAATTGTAGAAAACTGTTTTCCAAATTAAAAACAAATTCAAGATTTTCCCACAATTTGCATGATATAAATTGTAATCAAAATGATTTTACGGGTTAAGATTAAATGAAATTCCATGGCCTCAGGTAAGAACGGGATTGGGCCTGGTATTCATGCCCTTAATGATTCAATTACCTGTTGACATTCACTACCCAGGCCCACCCATGAAGAATGGTCACTCAGCCACAGGTACCCATGAAACTGAACCACAGCTAAATCACAGCACCTTGGGAAAAACTGGCAAAAATAATCTTATGAGGTTGTAAGTATCTTAATGAAATTGACAAAGCAACTTAGAAAAATAAATCAAACATCCACCCACCCCACCACCTCAACCAGTAAAAGAGACATACAGTACTTTACATTTGCTTCATTCTTCTATTTAATTAATCTTTATGCTAAATAATTTCAGTAAGAACATCACCCCAAAAAAATCTCTTACTGAGCATTTAGGATCAAACACATCAAGAATGTTATCACTTTTCGAGTGGCAGATAATGGAGAGTGTCAGCATCAATTTCATTTTCACACACTCAGTTTCCTCCATCTATCTTGATTTTAATAATCCCTGTCAAATCGCAAACAGTCCACATTACCTTCTTGACACTGGAGCCTTCAATAGGGAGAAAGGAGCTCAACATTCATTTAACTGCTACAAAAGAAAGCTGTCTAGCTGGACAAATATTATTTCCACACTTGACAAGCACTACAGTTAACCATGTATTTTTTTAAACTGAAGCTGCCAACATTTTGATATGAGCTTCTTGTTCAGTGCTGATCCCTTCAATGGATTAGTTGGCCAACAATTGTAACTTTGATTTTAAAGAACTGAAAGGAACCAGCATTACACCAAGCAATACGTCACCTTTGGATATACCAGAAAATAAATTTTAAAAAAATAACTAAACACCAAACATATTTGCAGTAATTATGGTTGTGTAGTACAGTACAAACATAGTACAAGGACAACAATGCAAATTCCAGGCAGTTTAGAAAGATGTATGAACATGCGCTGCATGTGTACTGAAGTGGCGAACTGCAGGTTATTTATTAGTAGATACTTTATTAGACTAGACTGATGCACTTGATGAAGTCCTGGAAAAGTAGGTTATAGACGTGCACATTTAAAGGTATGTGTAGTTGGGACAAAGTGATTAGTGGGTACTCTGAATAAAGCGATGGGATTTTTAGTATTCACCAAGACAAACAGATAAAAAGGCATTTAACTTTTAACACTGCATTGTGGTCTCAGCATTAGGTCAAATATTATCCTTTGGAGTCTGAATCCACAATATTCTGGTCCAAATATGGCACAATATTAACTAAACAAATACTAAATTATCATTTTCTATCTGCCAGTTTACCCAAATTATTCATGTTGCTTAAATTCATGCAGTTATTCTCAAAGGAATATATTTATCATTGTTCTTTTCTCACGACTAGCTTTTTAAATGAGATTCAGAATTTTTCATTGGTTGTTAATTAGAGATACCCGTAATTCCCTCTATTTCATGCAATTCCATGTGGTAATCATACAGCTGTATTTACATAATGTTTAGGCATGGATAGACCTGCCCCATTGCCTAGTTCTGGAATTTCTGGTCAGCTAATATCATGGCACACCGCAAAAATATTTATGCTTGTCACAAACAATGTGTCACTTAGATAAAACACAAAATACTCCAGATGCTGGATATCTGAAAACAAAAGTAGAAGTCGCTGGGAACACTCAGCAGGTCAGGCAGCATCTATGGAGAAAGTGAATCAACGTTTCGGGTCCAGTTATTCTGACGAAGGGTCGTGGACCCGAAACGTTGAGTCACTTTTCTTTCTCCATAGATGCTGCCTGACCTGCTGATTGTTCCCAGCGACTTCTGTTTTTGTATCACTTAGATTAGTAACTCATTTCCACATTTTGCTGACAGCAGCCATATTTAGCAACACAAGTATCAGTTAGTCTTAGGAGTTTTCCGACATTTCCCAATTTTGTCATTAGTTTTGGAACAATAACCGTTTCAATATACCAATTAATTCTATGAATAAGTCAACAAAATGAACAATAGATTTGACACTCCATTACTTCATAAATAAATTAAGCCATGGAGATAGTCAGAGTTAAGAGTTTATATCTCATTCAAACAGCAGTAATTCAGTCAGAACATTTCACAGCATACAAAATGATAAGGAGTCCATCTACATATCCAATAAATAATGACAGGAGGCATACATAATCCATCCCATGAAAAAATTAAGTACTATGAATTGTAGGTTTTCAATGACAGGGTAAGTGCTTTAACAGATCTTAACATTGTTTGCCATCCACAGCCAGCAACCATATTATTAATTGGTAGGGATGTGCATTCGAGCTGTGGGCAGGAGGATGGAGGCAATGCTCTCACATGCAGCTCACCAAGCTCATAGGGAGTTTGTGGTACCTCTATCCAATTAGTGAGGACTCAACCTGAGGATGTCTAATGACTTACTTATGACTATTCTTGAAAGGAAAGTCAATGGGATCTCTGTGGAGCTGAGCTGGCCCCATGGTGACGTGACAATGGAATGTTGGAAGCAAGTCAAACCTCTATGATAGTATCAGCAGAGTAGTATCCTGACCTGGGTAGGTCCCAGACCTCCAGGGCACTGCTAATGACAGGCCAGCCAGTCTGGCTCTCCAGCACAACTTGGAGGGGCATACTGATCACCGGGAGCAGGGATTCTTCCAATTCGGGATAGAGTTCCAGAGAACGGTGCAAAACGCTTGCCCACCAATGGTGAGGCAAGTTAGGTGGGGACATGAAACAGGCTGTTGTTTGTTGAGCTCAGGGAACTGAAATAATCAGAGAACACATATCTACAATTGGATGTGCTTTAATCAAGGCAAAACGTTCATTGTATTTTGTTTATGCTATTAAAGTTTTAGAAATGCCCATTAGTGACCCTTATACATATTTATGCTGTTATGCTTGCAGTGGGATTTGTCTGATATTGCTTAGACTTCAGTATATATAGTGGATAAATCCCTTAATCTATCATGCCTCTATACACTTCCAACTATAGTGCTTTGCTTGCTTACATGCTTTACCATATGGCCAAGTTTTTCATATCTATTCATGAACTGTTAAGCATTCGAGCTTTACTTACAACCACTCGACACTCAAAGTGCACAATAATAACTGATGCCATATCTACTTATTTTGACCCTGTTGTAATGAAATATCATTGCACCAAACTGCATCATCTTTATTATGCTAGGTTAAGATACTATTCCGTTTTGGAAACCAGCATATGCTGCACACGCTTTCCTAGGGGTTGAGTTGGTTTGCATGATGCACCAAGTTAGACAAGGGATCTGAGAGTGTAAAAACACCTCCTAACTGCATATGCCATACTATCATAAATGGGGTATTCCTGCATCTGCTTGATAGTTCAACTTACTAACTTGTCAAAGCCATTCCATCTTACACGGTTGCTGTGGCTAAGAGGCCTGTTACAATGCCTATTGGGGTTGATAAACCAAAGCCACATCCCCAATTGACAAAGCAGCCAACCACTTGGCTGGATAATTATAATAATAATTATCCTTCCATTTGGTATTAGCACATTCCCTGTCAGGAGGACTTCTCAAAGAACTTCATAGGATTTTACTGTGAAGTGGAATTAGTATTTATTTGTAGGTGAACTATGATAATACATACCAAATATAGCTGTTCCCAACTTTAGCTGCTCAACACATTCCCTTCTGCGTGAGGAGCACCGTACAGGACAGGGCTAAACACATTTTTAGCCACTAGAAGGCTGAGAACTCATTCTCTTGAATTGATCAGAAGCAATCGATGATCATCTGGGCAGCAGGAGAAATCTTTTCAGCTTGGTGCCTTCAGAAGCATGAAAAAGATTTTGAGATGCCTCTGGAGGCACTAGCATCGTCCTAGCCCTCTCCCAAAAATAATCTGGAACAAATATTTACTCCTGAACTATTCCCCCCAAAATAATAATGTGGTCACTCAATCCCCGACTGTTTGTGGGACACTGCTGTGCTAAAATGGCTCCCGCTTTTTGCCCACAAATATACAGTCAATTCACTTTACAGTATATTCTGTGAAGTGCTTTGAGACTTCTAGAAGAGATGAAAAGCGCTATATCAAATGCAAGGATTATTTTGTCATTTGTCAGGTAAGGAACTGAGTGAAGGTAAAATAAAACTAACAAATACAGTAACAAATAAAAATAAAGTTTTGTAAAGATAACTAACAAAGATGCCAGGAATATGCCTAATTGTTACTACACAACACTTATTTTTTTTATTGTTTTTAAATAGCATGTATATTGTTATTTTAATGTCCCTTCAAGTGTTCTGATAAAAACATATATGACCTAATTAATTGGACGATTTGTGTTGTGGCAGCTACAGCATCCAGGTAAGTGGTGTGTATTCGTATACCCTCCTTGATTTGAACCTTGTAAATAGTGAAAGGGATTTTGTAAGGATGTTCCACAGAATTAGGCCAAGAGGTAACTATCCCTGTAAGAAAGGCATGGATGGGAGTTCAGCTGCAGGTGGACAATAATAATTCTTGCATTTGATAAAATGCCTTTGCATTTGATATCACATCTTCGGGACGTCTCAAAGCACTTCACTGAATATGCTGTGAAGTGAATTGACTATATATTTTGTGGGCGAACCGCGGCAACCAATTGTGAATAGCAGTGTCCCACACAGTCGTGGATTGAGTGACCCCAATTTTGTTTAAAAGGGATTATTAGCCCCTGAAAAGCAATCCGCCAAATGACTAACACCCGGATTCCTACTTACTGCTAGGTAAACAGAGGCGTGTGGAGTAAGGGAACTTGCCCAATGTTTCGCTCTGCCCGGGTCATGTCGCTTGCGAGGCGAGTGCTCTAACCAATATTCTATAGGACACCATGGATGAGTTAAAAGGGCGTATTATGCCAAGCTCAAACTAATCTGATTTCCATACATACTGTTGTATACTATCCAATAATATTCTGTACGCTTAGTTCTCCAACATCAAGGCCTGGATGAATGCCAATTTCCTGCAGCTGAATGTCGACATAACGGCAGTCATACTTCTTGACTCCCTTCAACAGCTTCTCACCTACAGCTCCGACCTCCTCAATCTCCCTGACTTGTTCCTTAGACTTATTGAACCTGTGCGCAACCTAGGCAGCATGTTCAATCCCCAGCTGTCCTTGCTATCCCACATCTGGTCCCTGACTAGGACTCCACCTCCACCACATTGACCTCCTCCAACGATATCTCACACCAAACATAGCTGAAACCCTCATCCAGCACCTCCTGCCTCAATTTTCCAACTGCCCTCCTCCACCAGTCTCCCCAGCTCCACTATTCGTAAAATCTAATTAATTCAGAACAACCACCACCCATATCTCACCTGAACAAAATAACAACAAGTTGGATTTATATCGCGCCCTCCATGCCGGACGGCGTCTCAGAGCGCTTTACAGTAACGGATTCTGGTGCCAAGTCAGGGGGATGGGGAGGAAGGTGACCAAAGGTGCGGTCAAAGAGAAAGGTCTTCAGCAGAGGCCTGAAAATAGGGAGGGAGTGAAGGGAGTGAGGAAGGAAGTTCCAAAGCCTCGGGGCATAGTGGCTGAAGGCACGGCCGCCAAGGGTGGAGCGGAGGACTCAGGGGACGAGGAGGAGGCCAGACCCAGAGGAACGAAGGCAACGGGTACTATTTTGAGGAGAGAGGAGGTCAGAGAGGTAGAGGGATGCAGAGGAGTGGAGGGATTTGAATACAAGCGTGAGGATCTTGAAGTTGATCCTCTCTGGGACAGGCAGCCAGTGCAGTCTAGCAAGGACTGGGGTGATCGGGGAGCAGAGTTTGGTGCGGGTGAGAATGCGGGCGGCAGAGTTTTGAACTCTGTTTTGACATGCCCTCATCACCCCAGTCCTTACCAGACTCAACTGACTCCCTATTGCAGAATGGATCCATTTCAAGATTCTCACACTCATGTACTTCATGCCTTGGCACTTGCCGATCTCTCCAATCTGCTTACTCCTCACTCCTCTACCCTCCTCCATCGCTAACAACCTCCGTGCAGGTTAGGTGAAGGGTCCCTCTTCCCCTCCACCATTGGTGGGTGGCCGTGATTTCAGCCACGACTCCCTGAGACTCTGGAACTCTGCTTCAATTCCTCTGGCTTCTCCCTCCTTGTCCATGACACCTGCATACCTGACTCTTCAACCATGACTACGATCACCAGCCCTCTCTTCCTGACATCAAGCTCCACCACTGTTAAATGCTTCAAGATCTTATCCTACTTGAAGGACACTATATAAAAGTTTTTGTTGAAATAAGATACGTTTTTTGAATAATGCAGTTATTACAATAACAGAAATTCTTGAGGTCTTCCAAATAAATTAACAATAATTATGTTACATAATATAATACTCAAATAACTGCAACTTTCTTTTATTTGATCTTGTATTAAAATGAGATTTTTTTATCTTCATTTAAAATAATAATAAACTTTGCAATTTGAGCACCAATTTACTGCAATCCTAAATCCAAATCAGGAGTATTACAGATGTTTACTGTAAATTTGTGGCAAATATGCCTCCATTGTTAATATGATGGTGGATGTGGCCACATACTATAAAAATAAACAACCTTTTCCATACCAAATAATTTGAAAGTTTTAAAAAAAACTAATTGATCGGAATAAAAACCAATAAAAACATTACCATAACTACTGCGTAAAGGCTGACATCTCTGCGATTTGTAATATAGTAGGAAACACCACCATTCATTCACTCCATACATCTGGTTTTGTTTCTTATGGGACTGATAAAATTTGATAACAGTCAAGTGATCGATTGCAACCTTATTTCTTTTTTTACACACACACAAGCTGTAGCTCGATTCAATCACATACTAAAACGAGAAAAAACACCAGTTATGACAAGGGCGAGAGTTTCTCCTGCCCAACCTATAAAGTACCACCAATAACATTTAGAGGTGTCCTAACACCAAATAAATGGAATGAGTCCGGGACACAGAAACACGATTAAACAATGTGTGTGTGGGTGGGGGGGGGAGAGAGAGAGAGAGGCGAGCATCGCCGATCCGATACTATTACATATTAAACACAGAACAGCTGCAGAAACGTGATCCGAAGGGAAAAGATGCCTCGGTGGTTGACATCCGGGTATCCGCAGACCATCACAGCTCAGGCACCGCGACCACAGGCCGCCAACCGTAAACGCGCGCGACGTACAACAGCCCTCGGGGGCTCTTTAAAACTTACGCTGAATTGACCCCCCCCCCACCACCAGACTCTCTCCCCCGCGTTTCAGAGGGAAAATGTCACTCCTTCACTCAGCCCGAACCGTCCTGCGAGTGTGTTTCTTCCTCTTCTTCTTCGCCCCCTCAACTGCGCACCCCACCCTCCCCACTCCTCGCTGGAGGCTGCCGTTTGTTTACAAACACGTCGCTCGGAGACCAGACGCGTCCCGCTGGGGGACGCGCGAGGAGGGGCGGGGAGAGTGCAGTGCGCATGCCCGTCTAACGGCTCCCGGCACGCAGAGTGCGACCCACACACAAAAACAAAACGACCAATTGGGTGGGTTTTCGTTGCACTGCGTGAAAAAAAATGGCTTCGGGGCGGGCGCCTAATTTTTTCTCAGTTAAACTAGCGATACCTTTTTTTTTCGGGGAGGGAGGGAGGGGTGGTGTAGTGTAATAAGACTTTTTTTTTCATCTTTTAACCCGGTTTCAAAAGCGCTAAACCGAAACCGGGCGCTCCCCACCAGCAGACGCCGGGCGAGGCTGGTGTTCGGTTGGTCTGGTTACCGCCGACGTATGTCAACAATCTGACGCCTTCAAAACTTCCCGGGGGGGAAGGGCAAAGGTTATGGCGCGCGCGCCCAGAGCGCGAGGGAGGGAGGGAAAGAGACCGACCGACCGACTAGGGAGAGGCGGCGGTTTGATTTGAAAGCCAAAGACGAAGCTGCGCGGGAGATTTGCGCTCCTCGTGTCCTGTGGGATTACAGTAACTGACGGGGTTTGTGTGGCGGGGGGGGGGGGGCGAGGGGAGCGTCTCCCGTGACGCGGCTGGGGAGCAGCGCGAGGGTGGCGTGACGTGCTTGGCGTCGAGGCGGTTGGGTTTGAATTTGTTCGGTTGAAAGTCGCCTCGCGGCGGCCGGCGAGCGCAGGTTTTGAACGTTCAAGCCCCACCGGCGGAGAGCGCGGGTGACACGGTGAGTAACCCGAGCGCCGGGAGGGGGAGGGAGGCCTTGCCGTGCCGTGCTCTGAGCTGCCAACGCCTCACGGGAGCTTTCAGGTCAGCGGCGTGAGAGGTCGCCTCGGGATTGCAAGCCTCGCTGCCCTGCGTGTACCTCGCCCTTTCGCCCACACTCAGCGTACGCAGGGCATAGGGGCAGGAGACCCAGGGCTAGTTTACCAGTAGGTTGCATTCGTCCACAAAATGCACAAGTCAATCCACTTGACAGCATATCCTATCAAGTGCTTTGAGACTTCTCAACAGTGAGACGCTACATCAAAAAAGACTGTTTGTGGGACATTGCTGTGCGCAATTGGCTGCCGCGTTCGCCCACAAATATACAGTCAATTCACTTTACAGTGTGTTCTGTGAAGCGCTTTGGGACGTCCTCCCGACGTGAAAAGCGCTATATCAAATGCAAGGATTATTATTATTATTATTAAATGCAAGCGGTATTATTCAGTCGCAAAGTACGCAGTCACCTTTCCGTTGTGTTCTGCGAAGTGCTTTGTGGACGTCTCAACGGTGTGATAAGGCGCAATATCAAATGCAAGGGTTTTTATTATGTAGCGCCTTTCGTGTTGGGCGTATAACTGGAGTACAGAGTCAACTCAGTCCAGGAAGCAACTACGCGAGGGCCCCAGTACCTCTGCTGTCCTGTCTTGTAAAGGTGTGCAGAATTTTTAAATTCAGTCGGTCTAAATTTGGAAATCGGGTTTCATTTTAAGAATTGCAGAAATTGGGCTTCGAAGTTTAAGACTGGATTTGAAAAGGCCCCCAAATCCTGGTTAATTTTGAGACCGTAGTCTTAAGTGTGTCAGTATTGTCGCACTCTTGCCGGGAAGTTGGAAAATTGTGGGTTCAAGCCCTTCGTCGGGGTTGGAACCTATATACACTTAAATCCTGGCTAACCAGACTAATGGGGGAGATCCAGTACAGTGAGTGTAATTATACTGCCGGTACTGATATTTTACAATGCTGAAAAATGTCAGTACCTGCATTGTAATTATAATAATAATAATAATCCTTGCATTTGATATAGCGCTTTTCATGTCGGGAGGACGTCCCAAAGCGCTTCACAGAATATACTGTAAAGTGAATTGACTGTATATTTGTGGGCGAACGCGACAGCCAATTGCGCACAGCAATGTCCCACAAACAGTCGTAGATTGAAAATGACCAATTTTATTATTGTTTTTGGTTTTGGAGGGATTATTATTAGGCTCTGTGTGGAGTAAGGAAACTTGCCCAAGGTTTCGCCCTCTGCCTGGAGTTGAACTCAGGTGTCTCGCTTGCAATGCGAGTGCTCTAACCACTGAGCTACAGGACTCCACTTGTTTGAACACCGTAGCAAAAGGCAGTGAATATGGGTTGTGTTGATGTGGAAGGCACTATACAAATGTAATTTGCTGTTGAATAAGCTATTTTCTGTTTGTGGGATTAAAACTGTCTGAATCAAAATTGTTATTCCTGCCCACTGTGAAGGCCAGCGAGGACGGTGAGGTGTTGGCGCTTGTCACGAAAGGTGGACTGGTGGAAGTCTACCCATATAGGCCTGTGAAAATTAATTTTTTGGGTTTTGGGTCTGGTCATGCTAGGTTGGCATTCTGGATACCCGGAGTCTGCCCAGTAAACTGAGTTCACTGTAGTGGTTGCAAAATCACTCCGATGCAGTACTGGGAATGTTGTTGGAGATGCTGTGCTTTGGAAGAGACGTTAAAGTAAGGTCCGGACTGCCTGTCCAGTGGACATTAAAATAAAATCCCATGGTACTGTTGAAAAAGAGAAGGGAGTTTATCCCAGTGTTCTGGCAAACATTCTCCCAAATATAAAGTTGCTCACTCCAAAGCTGCGCAGAGATTGGGTGCAGCATTCGCGCACAAAATACAGTCACATATCCTGTGCAGTGCTTTGAGAAGCCTTGACAACATGATAATGGAGGCAGTTTCCCACTTAATAAGTCTGATGGTGATTATATGATTGGTTACTGTTTGAGAAGTGCATTTTTTTAGTTTCTATATGTATATACCATATTTACATTTTGGAGGATGTCCCAAAGGACTTCTTAGAATATATTGCGAATTGTTTTGTGGGTGAATGCAGCAGACAATTTGCACATAGCCATAAAGTGGATGACCAATTTTATTTGGGGCATTGTTGGCCAGGACAATGGGGGAAATGGGGGAAATTCCCTTCTCTTTTTAAATAGTGGCAAGGGATCTTCAACACTCACCTGAGACAGGCGAGATCAGAACTTGTGTACAGTTCTAAATAAATTACTTCATTTTTGTATGATAACAAAGTGATTCTGCCTGAATTTGAATGTTTGTTGAAGCGTTTGAGGAACGTAAAAAATGTACTTATTTTGGTGGAAATCTGAAGATATGTAATGTTTTAGCCATCCTTTCTGGGAATCTGCATCTTGTGCACATGTTCAAATGGAAAAAGTGAAATAAATATGTTTTTTTGTATATTTGAAATGATACCCTCTGCTCTGGAATATTTAAAATCTAGCTTAATTATGTTGCATTTAAATTGTTTATTTGTTGTGAACAATAATTGGAAGTTTAAACAAAATGATGTTCCCTAGACACTCTTTGCATCACCAAAAGAGGTAGTCAACATATGTGTTTGAGTTCATCTTAATTTTTCCCATTGGCAGATGGAACAACTCGTGCATCAAACTCGTTTTCGCAAAGCCTGGAGCCATTACAACAATCCTACTTTATAATAATAAAAATAATTCTTACATTTGATATAGCACTTCATCGTGTCTTCCAGACGTCTCAAAGCGCTTCACAGAATATACAGTCAAGTGAATTGACTATTTTATGAAATGTTAATGCCCTGCACATTGTTTGACGGGATAGTTCTACAGCAATATCAACTTTTAAAACACTTTCAGTACAGGACTTTTCATTCTTTTCAGAATTCATTCTTTTTAGGAAATCATTCTTTTCAGGACTTGCTAACTTTATAATACAGAATATTCTACTGATGTAGATTTGTCGAAAAGTTCTTTAATTTTCATTGTATTGCATGATTTAAACTAATTTTACATGTTCTTATTGTCTTTTTTTTTCTTTCCCTACTCTTGGTTCTGCAATAAAATCCTGGTGTCTTTATTCACGAATTGAAGTGATCCATGAAGGAGAATCAGCACTAAGTGTTTCTTTTTCGTTGTAGATGGCTGGATTGGTGCAGAAACCTATAATACAATTAACAGGATTCAAGCATCCTGAAAAGGGGATCATTGTCAAGATACTTTCTCAGATGGACTGTGTTTATCTTCATGAACAAGTGAGTCATAATTAGTGATTGAAGTCTATTCCTTGGAATCAACTTAGTATTTCAATTTTCATTGAGTTATGGTAGTTGGGATACTTTGTTAGCTTGGCTTATTTAGTTATTCGCTTACTTCTTGAGTCAGAAGTTCTAGTCTTACAACAACAAAATTACATTTATAGAGTGCCTTTCACATAGGAAGGATGTCCCAAGACGCTGGACAGTCAGGGGTCAGGACCTGAGCATGGGGGAGGGGTCGGGTAGGGGTGAGGGAAGGCAGAGAGGTGGAAGGGCGACCAAAGGAGCAATCGAAGAGGAGGGTCTTGAGACTGGCCTTGAAGGAGGCAAGAGAGGAAGTGAGGCGAAGGGACTGTGGGATGGAGTTCCAGAGTGTGGGGGCAGAGAGGCTGAAAACTCGGCCACCAATGGTAGAGTGGGTTGGCCAGGAGACTGGAGCAGGCTGGAGCCCGCTGAACGGAGAGAGCGGGCAGGTTGGTAGGGAGTCAGCAAGTCAGAGAGGTAGGAGGGGGCAAGGCCATGGATGGCCTTGAAAGTGAGGACGAGGATCTTGAATTCGATCCTCTGAGGGATGGGGAGCCAGTGGAGTCTGGCGAAGGTGGGAGTGATGGGGTCACGGAGCCTGGTGCGCGAGAGTACACTTCAATAATAAGAAAGTTGGTATTGTTGGGTATCTTTCATTTGAGTGCCTAGGCCTGACGATAGTTCACGCCAGCACATACGTCTCAACGTTTCGTATTGTCCAGTTGTGAAAAGTAATAATTTATACATAAGCAACTTGTCTTTCTAACTTTCGTGAAAGCGAAGAATGGAATTCAAAGAATATATAAGTTTGTTTCATCTCAAGTAGAACGGTTTCCCTCACTGGATGCTTATTTTATTTTTTGAGTGGATTATTTTTGATAAACCGGGCGTCTGGCACAACGGAAGCCAATCAGTATGCTTCAGAGTATCCAAACAACAAATTACATTTGTATGCGCTGAAACTAATTTGAGAAATCCTTGCAAAGATTTACAAAGAATGTACAGTGTGACAACAACGACAACTTGCACTTATATAACTCCCTCCGTGCAGGGCAGAGTCTCAGAACCCTTAACAGTGGTGGAGTTGGGTGGGCAGATGGGGAGAGGTGGCCGTAAGCACAGTCGAAGAAGAAGGTCTTCAGATTGGAAAAGGGGAGAGAGGGGGCAAGGCGAAGGGATTGATGGAGAGTGTTCCAGAGTTCCAGGGCATAGTGGCTGAAAGTGCAACCTCCAATAGTGCGGTGTAAGGTGCGAGGGACAAGCAGGAGGCCGGTGCCAGTCGAGCGGAGGTGGCAGGTGGTGGATTGGGGAGTGAGGAGGTCGGAGAGTAGTGAGGTACCAAGGAGTGAAGGGATTTGGACACAAGTGGGAGAATCTTGAAGCCAATCGGTGATGGGAAGCCAGTGGAGCCTGGTCAGAACTGGTGAGTTGTGGGTATGGAGTTTGGTTCGGGTGAGTATGGCGGGTGGCAGAGTTCTGAATGAGCTGGATTTTTGGAATAGTGGAGCTGGGGAGACTGAGGAGTGTGTTTGAGTAATCCAAGCGGGAGATGACAAACGCATGCAAGAGGGGTTCGGCTGCGTTTGGGATAAGGTACGATCGGAGGTGGGCAATGTAGCAGAGGTGGAAGAAGGCAATCCTAGTCAGTGACCGGATGTGGAGGGGGAAGGACAGCTGGGGGTCGGACCGGATGCCTAGATTGTGCACTAGTTCAATGAGTCTGAGGGAGAGCCCAGGGAGGTTGAGGAGTTTAGATCTGCAGGAGTGAAGACGTTGACAGGAGTCAGGAATACAGCTTCCATCTTGTCCATATTCAGCTGCAGGAAGTTTGCACTTATCCAGGCCTTGATGTCTTCCAGACAAGCTGATAGAACATCGGCGGACCTAGAATTGGTACTGGAGGAGGCAAAGTAGATTTGTGTGTCATCCGCATACACGTGGAATTTTACCTCTGCGGATGACAACTCCAAATGGGAGCATACAGATGAGGAAAAGAGGGCTAAGGATGGAGCCCTGGGATACCCTGCACCGGGCTGGGGCGGGAAGAGAAACCATTTGCCGAGATGAAATGGAGGAGGTTGATTAAGTAAAACTCGAACCATGTGAATGTGACCCAATAAGGTGGATGAGGGAGGAGAGGCGGTGGAAGAGGATGGCGGTGTCGACTGTGTTGAACATGGCAGAGAGATCCAGGAGGACAAGGAGGCAGAGGGAGCCCTGGTCACAGAGAGAGAGGATGTCATTTGTGACTTTGACAAGCGTCGTCTCTCTGCTGTGGGCAGGGCGAAAACCAGATTACAAGGGCTCGAGGAGGGAAACAGGCTACTCAACCCGACCCGTACGTGTTGGTCTTTATACTCCACACGAGTATAAGTTCCACAATCTCACTACCCTCTGTGTGAAGTAGATTTTTTAATAGCTTTGTGAGGAGTGTTGGGAGAAATCCTGAAGGAACTGTTGAAAATTGTGGCCAATTGCTATCATGATGAATAGTGAATGCTCCACTAAAAGTTGCCAATTATTTCCACTAGGAATATAGGGAACAATGCACTCATGTTGTAGCAAGTCAACCAAGTCGAAGTGAAAAATATTTAGCAGCTTGTGCTGCAGGTAAGTAAAGACATTACATATTTATCCTGCTTAAAGTAAAGTAAGTGGTTTGCCTCAGGTAAACATACTTATTGTAAATCTATTCTTTGTTAGTTACAGAGATGCAAACAAAGCTAAAATATCAAAATCTAGTTTGTTTAACGTAATTAAATTAAATCAGGTTAAGCTACAAAGGAACAAAGTAAATTTCATGTTGGAAACATTTTGAAAATCAGCCCTTCTAGTAAAGGGATACGTTTGAAAAATCTTATTTGCCTTTCGATGCTGATTGGCCTGTTATAGATTTCAGCGTTTAATATCATGTTTGTAGCATCTGCCGTTCTTTATTATTCCTCTGGCGAGGGCTCAAACCCAAGCTTTTCAGATGTCAAATGACCAACTAGTGTATAGTTAAAAGTATAGTTTAATTAAAAGAGACCAATTTTTTTATTAGAAGAAATTAACAAGCGTGGATAGACAACAGAATGGGTGGAGTGTTGGCAATAAATTGTGAGATTTCTGTGAATCCAGTATGAAAAACTAACAGTTCATTTTATTTTCCTTCTGCTTCCCTTAGGAAAATGGATTTTAACTAAAGACTATATCATTGATAGTGCCACAAGTTCAAGGTGGCTCAATGAAACTCAGTATGAATGGGGATATAAAATCCAGGATAATTCACAACAATATCCTATTAAAATGGGATCTGTACCAAAGATATGGCGAGAAGAACTGTCCAAGTCTGGTATTCCAGGAGCATTTCACAACTGGAGAGTAGTGCTTCTGATTCATGATGATGCAAGAAGAGCTATCTTTAGAAGGTATTTGTAATGTTTCCTTATTTCTTCCTCCGATGCAGTGTAAATTACTGTAGGTTGGCTTTATGCTTGCACCCACCGTATTTCAGATCCCACCTGTAGACCTTTTTCTTCATCTAAGCCTATGGTCACTTCCCTCTCTCCCTAGTTCCGTGTCAAGCTCCACCACTGTTAAGCACTCAGACGCTGCCCATATGAAAGGTACTATATAAATGCAAGTTGTTCAAACAATTGGGGTTCCCAAATTTTCAGAGAATTTGTGCTACACTCACTGCTTGTAAGGAAGAATGCGTGAAATTTTATTCCTGGAGGGTAGGGGAACAGCTTTACGTGTTAAGAGGATGATTAATGCAACTAGCATAAATACATTTGATTGGATAGGAAACTGAATAGGCCTCAGGTGCGTGTACGATTTAGGCGGTTTTACGATTTATAAAGGTAAGACTTATCTGAGTTTTACACTATTTGTTTATGTATTGTTCCTTATGTAAGTCCAAGATGGAAGTTATGCTAAACACCACTGTTCTAATTAGTATCTACCTTTTTTCTGAGTAGGTGTTAGTTGTACTGTAGTCTTTGAGTAATGAGACGGGAGAGAAAAAGTGAGATGCATTTCCTGTGTTCTTTCTTTTGCTAGGGTCCTACTTGCTGGAAAAGCAATTGTGTATCAGCGACCAAGAAAAAGTTATGAAATTACACATGTCTTAACAGAACACAAGAATTATTTTGTGGAGAAACAACAAAATTCATACAAGGCACCTTACTTTCCAGTCGAGTACATTGGACAGTTTATTATGCGGGTAAATAAGCAACTGTTGGTTGGTATAGGAGATTTGAGTGTGAGGATGACCATCTTGAATTTGTTCCACAGTTGTCCTTCCTCCCCCACATTCTGTCCCTGACCAAGACTGCACCTCTGCCATATCATCAATTCTACCTTCACACTGGAGTCTGCCAAAATCCTCATCCTAACTTTTGTCAACTCCTGACTTGATTCTGTTTCTTAAACGCACTTCTTTCTAGTCTCCCTTATTCCACCATCCACATGGTCCACCTAATGCAAAATTCCACCACCCATACCCACTTACATCAAATTTCGCAAACCCAATTTAGGCTCCACTGGCTGCCTCTCTGAAAGCATCGACTTCAAGGTCTTCAACAACAAAATTACATTGATATAGCACCTTTGATGTCGGAAGTACATCCCAAGGTTCTCACGGTCCCATAGAAATCCTATAATGCCCTAGCACCTCCATACCTCTCAGATCTACTCTTACCCTACTCCTATGCCAACCCCTTCGTCAGCCACCGCAGACAGACCTGTAAAACAGTCTAGCCTGATAAGTTAATACAATGCAGAGGGGATGCAGCATTTTTTTGGAGATGAGGATTTAAATTGAAGTGCCATCTGTCTGTTACGGTGTAAGATCCTAGGGGACTATTCAAATAGATGTGAGATGTTGTTATTTGCAAATTGGCTACGTGTTTTGCACATTTACTAAATTTTACTGTATATCATGTGAAGAACTTTTGAGACATCCTCCCAAGATGCTATATCAGATGTAAAGATTATTTTTTTTATGTTTCATGTTCCCTTGCAGTCTTTTTGCTGCTACAGATTCTCACTTTTAATTTAAAATGCCTGTGCTCTCAGCATGAACAGATTTTGTTTTGCTGGTGCGCTGATTTTCCAAGCAGTAATAGCAGGAGCTATTCTGTCCCTGACCAAGACTGCACCTCTGCCATATTATCATCAATTCTACCTTCACACTGGAGTCCGCCAAATGAATGGTAGAATGAGAGCTATTTTGAAAGAAAGTAGAAGCAACCAGTAGTGGATGGTTGTATGGAATCTATATAAATATAACAATGGAATTTTATGCATGGTTTCTACCAGTTGAACTTTGTTTCCAAAACATCCCAGATCACAACCTACTATAGTCTTCTTGGAGCAATTTGTACTTGGATTTTTAGCAATTTGTCCTCCTTTTCTGTATATGCTTTGCTTTTAAGTTGATGAGGAGGCTGCTAATTGGAATACAGTGTAGAAATGAGACATGATCAGCATTGATTGCTATTGAGTTGAAAACCCCCAACATTGGAATATTTGGAGATTCATTATTTATCACGTTGGAGGCACCAAGGTGGGACCCCGACATCGTCCTCAATGGTGTCGTCTGTGGAGACAGACCCGAAACATTGGACTTGTGGATTGCGCTATTCGACCACTTTATTAAGTTAAAAGCTTGTTAACTGTCTCTAATTGGTATTTGAAAGCCACACGATCCACAAGTCTGAAGTCCAGTGCTGTAGCCTTGTTTTCAATGACCCCAGCATTGAGAGGATGGGGGTAGAGGGTCTACCTTTAGCACATATAGATTACATTCAATATGATATTGAATGTACAACCAAATTGACTCCAATAACACATTATTGGCTAATTGAATTCTGAAGATGGTGAGCGGCTCGCTGCAGGAAGAAAATAAAAAGGTTCAATTCACAAATGAAAATTGTCTTAAGCTTTAGCTGCAGTTGTCTTTTCAAATCCATATATAAATTTGAATTTCTATTTGCAGGCTTCTGTTGGTTCTCAATTATCTAATGAGGGTATTAAGGCATCGTATCTGAATAAGCAGGACTTTGATCTCATGTCAACCTCGTTTAAAGACTCCATACTAGATGCTACAGGAGGGCTGCAATCAACCTCATTTTCCTTCCAGGAAACTAATCAAAAGGAATCACCTGACTGCAATGAGTCAAAAACCCAGAATGCCGCCTTAAAGCAAAGACTGCAGGTGTTCCTTACTTCACCAGAGGTAGGGAAACCCAAATAAAATACTTGATAATGTCTTTCCTTTAATACTTAGCAAAGGAAAATAATTTGTGAGCTGCGCTAAAGCATCAGAAAGTAGAGGGTGTCAGTTTACACATTTAGTTAGGTGTCTTGCTCCTGAATCAGAGGTTGTGGGTTCAAGTCACACAGTCGGGACTTTAAGCTCACAATCTAAGGTAGTACTCCAGTTTATTGCTGAGGGAGTACTGCATTGTTGGAAGTGCCATCCTTCAGGTGAGACATTAAACCGAGATCTTGTTTGCCTTTTCAAGTAGATATAAATTTCCCATGGGACTATTTGAAAAGATAAGGGAGTTTCTCCTGGTGTCCTGGCCAAAAATCCTCCAAAACCTTCATGGCTGTTTAAAGGACATTGCTGTGGTGTGCATTTACCTATAAAATAGTCACTAATCTTTACAATAAATCTTGCGAGGTACTTTGAGACATCCCAGCAACATGATTGCATGAACAACATTGCATATTATCTGCCACACTTGCCTACAAATAAACAGTCTCCATACTTCATCAAAACTCATTGAAGTTCCTTGAGGCATTCTGAATGCTACAGGAACTATATCAAATACAAGTATTGTCAAAAGAGCAGGCTGAGATTGGAGTAGCTCTCCAGTTGGTATTCTTGTATCAGTTTAGGCCTTCTCCCATACTGTAGTTTCTAAAATTGTTTTCTTTTCTAGGCAATACGAAGCAAATATATACCGTCAGGTATCGGATGCTGTTTGCGTACCTCAACTCCCAGCAACCATCAGGTATGCTGATGAATATTGTGTTCTTTTTCAATTTCTGCAGTTCACTGGCGAGCAATTCAATTTCATGGTCATGCCTGCCACACTTATGAATAAAGGTGCAGAAAATGCTTACTGCTAAAGCATTCTACAATATGCAGAATGAATAAATAAATTACATTGAGTTTTCTTTCAAAGTATGATACGTTATTCTGCTTTGTGAGGCATTCCAGACATTTGTCTGTTTTGTCAATTTAGTTGACTGTTTGAGTAAAATCTGATGGTTCAAACAGTAACTATCAAGTAAATAAGCTTGAGTGTTATGAAATTTCCAATACTTTGCAAACTGAAGTAGTCTTTGAGATGTGCACCAGATACTCTTAACTTGTCTATTGTTGGTAAGGAATATTTGAACAATTCTGAAAGTGAGTGCTATTGATAATATGAAAACTTTAAAAGGCATGTTGGTACACAGCCATATACATAGTCTAGTAATAGCAGGAGCTTCCCAATCAGATAATTATAAATTTGAGTTCAGTGGTCACACAAATCTTTGGTTGAGCTTAACATTTTATCAACTCTACTTCTTTGGGATATTCGAGAAAATGAAATGGGTTACACTTTTTTGACTGAAAGGATTCATTTGATGTTTGGGTTTGAATGATCAAATCTTTGCTTCTAGATTCAATCTTTGAAGTTCTCTGGAGTTACAATTGATAGAATAGAAGGTATTTTGGAGGGACATTTCTATATGGAAGCATTGAAAGAGATCCGCTTCCATTTGTCGTCCAAGTTCTTTCCACCTTCATATCTTCTGCAATCTCTTCTACAGCAGGTTCTGGAGGTAAGTGAGAACACTTCAGCACTGAAAACTATTTCTTCAATAATTTCAGTTTTTGAGGAGAAGCAAAGAAATGTCAATTTTGTTCCAAGCACCTCAAGGTGCTTCCAGGATGGATTTTTTAAAAACCAGGCACAAGGTAGTAGTTCAAAAATGGAAATTGTGTGTTTGTGTCTAATATCATTAATTTAACCATCTTGATAAAAGTACATTAAAGCACCAACTGAAACATTCACCACTAGTAAATGAATTCATGGAAAAGTTACATCATCAATGTATGGATTGATCAGTGATAACATGACAAACCGTTGCCAACAATCCCCAGAATAAAAATTCCATGCAAGAAAAGTGAAATCTGAGTTTCTGAATCTGTAATATTGAGGTTTTATTCTCATCATTCAATCATGGCTGTTTGTGGAATATTTCTATGAGAACATTGGCTGCCATGTTGGCTTTGCAATTTATATGACGTGAGAGGCACTATACCAATTGCAAGGATTATTATTTTATTCTGCCCTACAGCTTTCAGATGTAGAGAATTTCACAACATCACAACTCTGGGTAAACAAATAATTCCTGACATCAGTTCTAACTGCATTTCCATTGGTTCTGATTTTAAGGCTATGGATCATTATCCTTGTAATGGATCCATGTAGTTTCACCAAGGCCATATATAATTTTAAAACTGAAAGTTTAAAACATGGGAGAATAAAATCACTTAACATGAAATTGTACTTTATTGTAAAATGTTGGCTTTGAAATAAAGCTTTTTTCATTATAGGGTAATGCAGATTTACATTTTTTGCATGAGTTTATCAGCATTCTGCAAGATCTTGTTCTTAATCACCCTCCCTGGAAACAGTCATCAATGGTTAGTTACTACATGGATATTCTTCAGTGTTCAAGCTGTAAAAAAGGAAGCTCATTTCTATTGGAATCAATTGTAAGGTAAGAAAAGTGAAAAGATAAAATATTTTTCACAAATTTGTGGAATATTATAAAGTGCGTTTATTGTTCTGATGAATGCTGTAACCTTTAGCTTTGTTAGCAAATTCCATACAGAAAAATGAAAGCTGATAAGCTTCTGAATCTGTAATATTGAGGATTTATTCAGTATGGAAATACTGGTGTTATCTTCACAGTAATGTTGGTGATCCAATGTTCTTGGATGGTTTATTTTTATCAGATGTGTTTGTCTAAAATTTTATTTGGTAATCTTTTCTCATTTCAACTCTGTTTTCCGCTAGCTTCAGAGATTGGTTTAATAAGTTCTCTAAAAGGACACAAAAAATAAGAGGCAAAGCTATTATGTTACAGTTCAATCAGATATTCTAACGGCACACTAATTGTTACATTTCCTCTTTGATGAAGTGGTTTACCCCAATTCATATATTTACTTCAGTATTATTATTATAGTGCCAAATCTAGCATCTTGGGATGGATCTTCCTTTATTGGAAGGTTTAGAAACCATTGGTTTCTCTTTGTGCTTCAGTATGTGAATCTCTCAAAGAGTTTCTTGTAGGATCTCTATCAGATTCAGATTTTTAAAAAAAAACATTGTGTGGCTTACAGGGAGTGATACACAGAAGATAGCATGAAGTGTATGTTTGAAGGCAGAGTATACCAAAATAAATCTTGAACTGACAGATAGATGGCTTTGATAGTTAACAATAATTACTTTTGTGGATTTAACACCATGTGACCACCTCCCATGCGCATGCAAGGAATTAAATCTAAAGAAAATGGCACGGGGATACGGCCATGTGGCTTCCCTACGGAGGACAGTTGTCCATAAAATATCCCCAGAACAAAAGGGGCTGAGAAAAGTACTGAGCAGGCCGGTAATTCCCGTACCAATATAACTAAGTGCTTGGACAGGGGCAATCACTCGCTAGAAGTGAAGTTTGCCAGTCGGCCCGGAATGCTAGTAGAAATCAAGGGTATCCTTGTGGATACAGGTACTCAAGTAGCAGTGCGAAGTCTCAAAGTAGCGGTGGAGGAGTCAACCAGCCAGGCAAAAAGTCAGAATGTGTGGTTTATCATTGCAAAGACTTTAGGGATAGAAAACTAAAATAAATAAAAATTCTCTAGCCATCAAAATACCTCGGGAGCGTCACTGCAGTAAGAAACCAAGTGCAGTTATTAATTAATTGACTAATCACAAATGTACTTTTTATTTGAAACTTTAGGTCCTGTGTTTATGATGAAGGACCTTGTCATTGTCTCTCCAATCAAGACCTCAGCCTTTCAGAACTGAAACCGTTTTATAGGCTGCTATTGAAGTACTACTTTGACTTGTTTGAAGCTGAATTCGAAACATTAAATAAGAGGTAATTGAAGTTCAACAATAAATAATAGAAGTATGCAGCTTATGTCCTCTCCCACACCAGGCTCTCATCACCCCCACTCTCTCTATTGGTTCCCCATCCCCCAGAGGATAGAGTTCAAAATCCTTGTCCTCTCCTTCATACATGCGTTCATTACATCAAGGCTTGACTATGCAAACTCATTGCTTGTCGGCCTCCCCAACTCCTCCCTCCAAAGGCTGCAGATCATCCAGAACTCTGCAGCCTGTGTCCTCTCCCGCAGTAGGCTCCGCAACCCTATCACCCCCATCCTTGCCCAACTCCACTGGCTTCCCATTACACAGAGGATACAGTTCAAGATCCTGGTCCTCACCTTTAAAGCCCTCCACGGTCTTGCTGCCCCCTACCTCTCTGACATCCTAACCCCTACCATCCTGTTCGCTCCCTCCGCTCAGTGGGTTCCGGCCTGCTTCATGTGCCCCACTTTGCTCGCCTCACTATTGTCGGGCATGCCTTCATGTCACTCTGCCCCCACCCTCTGGAACTCCCATCCTGCAGTCCCTCCGTCTCGCCCCCTCTCTTGCCACCTTCAAGACCCTCTTCGACTGTGCTTTCGATCTCCCTGCTTCCCCCTCCTGCCCTCCACCCTCCCCCACTCCAACCCCCAGCTTTGGTCCGTAACTCTTGTCTGTCCAGCACCTTGGGACGTCCTCCGGAGGTGAAAGGCGCTATACAAATGTAATTTTGTTGTTGTTCAAGGCCCTCCACGGCCTTGCCGCTGCCTACCTCTGTGGTCTGTTGACGCCATACTAACCAGTCCGCTCACTCCCTTCAGGCTGTGGCCTGCTCCACGTCCCCCGCCCGGCTCCACTATTGGCGACCGGGTCTTCAGCCTTTCTGCCCCCACCCTATGGAACTACATCCCACCTTCCCTTCACCTCGCTCTCTCCCTCGCCTCCTTCAAGGTGAGTCTCAAAACCCTCCTCTTTAACCAAGCCTTTAGCTACCCTTCTGCCCTCCAACGTCTCTGATCTCAACCCACAGCTTAGGTCCAAATCCCTGACTGTCCAGTGCCTTGGGATATCGTCCCGACATGAAAGGTGCTACACAAATGTAAAATTCTGTCAGGTAAACTTGCCAATATGCAGCACTGGTCTGTTAGCTGGGAACACTAAGGGATTTTCTTTTAATAAGATGGGTGGGTTTAGTTGATAATTATTTTTAACCTCTTTCTACTGCTTTATTGATACTCACATAACTACACACATAACTGTACACGTAACTCTACACATACTGTAACTAACTTGATTTTTTTTATTCTTGCATGATAGCTGTTTTGAAAACCTAATTCCTGGGTGTTCTGATTTTATACCTCATTCTGTTCTCGGACAACTGTTGTTGGAATACATGGATGTGATGACCAAATCTTTAGCTGTTTTATTGGAGTGTGTTCTTCAAGCAACAAGAGCAGTAGTTAGGAAACCAAATGACGTGAGTAAAATTATCTATGATTGCAAAGTGCAGATCCTTTCCATAATGGTAACTATTGATTGTATGCAAGATATGGATCCCGGATATTACCTTGCAACTAATGATATAAATAATAATTGGAATTCTTGTATTTGTTATAGTACCTATAGTGTGTCAACGTCTCCAGTCATTACTCTTTACAATATATCCTGTGAAGTGCTTTGAGATTTCCTCCTGACATGAAAGGTGCTATATCAGATGTAGGAATTATTATTAAAGTGCGTGCTTTAAAGTAATTACCTTTAAGTGTAGTAACTCTATTCAGAGATGAAAGCAGCAGCCAGTTTCCCACAACAATTTTCAACAAACAGCCAAGAGGTAAATGGCCAATGTATTTGGAGGATTGTTGGCCACAAGACTGTTTTTCATGATGCATGATAGGAACTAGATCCAATGCAAACATTATTTATTAATTATATTACTTTTATTTGCAAGTTAATATCCAGGATCTATTTTTTGTATTGAGGTGGATATAGGTAAGCAGTGTTTCCTTGGAGTTGAACTGTTTCCATGGTGACCTACTTGCAGGTGTGTGAATTTCATTTGTAGATGGAATGCACGGAACTGTCTGGTTTTGATAATAGTGATGGGTTTCCACATGTGGAACACGATGATGGGTTTCCACGTGTGGAACACGATGATGGGTTTCCACATGTGGAACACGATGATGGGTTTCCACATGTGGAACACGATGATGGGTTTCCACATGTGGAACACGATGATGGGTTTCCACATGTGGAACATGACAAAAAACAATAGTTTCATGGGGTCTTTATCATCCATCTGAATCGGCAGATGAAAGTGTAACATCACATCTGAGAGATGTCACCTCTGTCATACAGGTCTTCCCCCAAAACTGGACTGGAGTGCCAGCCTGGAGTATGAGGTTAGGGTTCTGATATGGAGCTTGTACCTACAACTTTCTAATCCAGAAGCGAGAGTGCTACCAACACTTATCAGTTCATTATTTCATTATATTCAAATAAAATCTGGATGATCATTGTAAGTTTGCAAGTTGATTAGAAATGTAAAAAAAATTGCAATTTGCACCAACAAATTATAGCCAAGATCTTGAATGAGACATTGAACTGCGCTACAATAGTTCAGTGAGCATTTACAGCTTCCATCGTGCAATACCAAGACAAACAAAGTTATCAGAAGCATCCTGACCTATATTTTTTTCTCTCTTATACCCCCATTCAAACTTATGATAAATATTCTTTCTTGTGAAACATTGTTGCTTGTGAGTTGTTACTGGTGCAAATTGGTTACTTTATTTACCTGCGTCATTCACTTCACTTCAAAGCATGTGAAAGATTTTGAGAGATTTTCATGTAATAAGGTGGGATATGGAATGCAGTTTATTTTTTTATCCTTATACTTAAATAATTCATTTGTATGAAGGATTTTGAGATGCTTAACATGCTTCATCAAAAGCAATTATGAAATATTATTCAATAACACAAGGTTTTCTCATCTTCGGTATAACGGTAGATTGAAAACTTTGTGGGTATAGGTGGAGACTGAGTTAGGGAAGGCATTGTGTTAATTACATAAATCTGATGAGACAGGTATGGATCTTTGGCATTATTAGTTTTTGAATTTGAACCTTATCCATCAATAATCACTATATATTTATCTATATAATAATAATAATAATCCTTGCATTTGATATAGCGCTTTTCACGTCGGGAGGACATCCCAAAGCGCTTCACAGAACACACTGTAAAGTGAATTGACTGTATATTTGTGGGCGAACGCGGCAGCCAATTGCGCACAGCAATGTCCCACAAACAGTCGTAGATTGAAAATGACCAATTTATTTATTGTTTTTGGTTTTGGAGTGATTATTATTAGGCTCTGTGTGGAGTAAGGAAACTTGCCCAAGGTTTCGCCCTGCCTGGAATTGAACTCAGGTCTCTCGCTTGCAAAGCGAGTGCTCTAACCACTGAGCTACAGGACTCCACACTATATATCACTATATATTACATGTTTACATGTAATTCTCCCCTTTTCCTTTTCTAGAAAACTACATACGAAACTGCCTATGTGTTACATGGTATATTGGGAGTTGTTGTGGAATATCGACTTTTGGTAAACAGGTTACGTGGGAAATATTTTCCTGGCCAAACTTGGGACGATTTAATGTTCTACATTCATGTATGTTGTCAAGGTGAACACAAGTTTCAAACATTTCCTTTATTCAATCTTCTGTTTGTTTAGAACTTTCATCTTTTATGTCTATTCTAAAAAAATATCCCAGGTAGTTCAGTTGGCTGAGCACCGAACTTAGTCCTGAAAGATTCAAAAAGTCCTTTGCTAGGGAAAGGAGGGATTTATTAAGCAAGCTGCCTTAAGTTCTGTACTATCTGCACTGAAACACGTGTTCCTTGTATACATTACCTTTGCCGATCCAGAAGGTGTGTGTGGGGGGGCAGTTGCGGAGGCGACATCTTTGGAATCGGGAAGCAGCAATATCATAGAAAGAAACTTTGATAGGGTATTCAGATGGACTGGTGTCTGACAAAGTTCAATACAGATAAAAGAAAGGTACTGCTTATAAGAAGCAAGAATAGGAGGCACATGGGCTGTACGGATAGAACAGTGCTCAGGATAGAACGGTGCTCAAGGAGGATGCTTGAAGAGATCTCGATATGTTAGTTGACTCCTCAATTGCCATGCCAAAGCAGTACGAGACAGCAATAATAAATGAGGCGAATGAGATAATGAGTTAAATTGCCAATTCAGTTAACTTGAGATCTCCAGAAGTCATAGTCGAGCTATTCTGAGCTTCAGGCTGCACCTAGATTATTGCATATGGTTGCCACAACGTAAAGGAGCTGCCCAGACCCTAAGGCAGTGTAAACTAGAGCCACATGGATAATCCCCAGTTTTAGAGGAATGAACAATGATTAGACATATTTGGAGTCTTCAGTTTGGAAATAGGACTGAGATCAAATGGCCCAGTTCTTGTAATCTATCTGAAGGGATGTAAGTGGGATCTTCATGGGACTGAACTGCTCTGAGAAGACTCATCTTGCAAAGACAACCAACTGATCTTAGTCAGACTTTGAGAGGTAGATATGTCCTTGCTCGACAACGTCTAAACAAATAAAGATTGGGCAAGTGTCATAGTGCATGACTACCCAATGTAGATACATTTAGCTTTAAAGATCATCAATCAGGTCTCAATACAATCATGTAATGCAATTATAACTGAATTCTTCAAAGGTAAATTGATATTGTGAACTAGACTATTTAAAGTAGTTTTTCTGTATGCCTATTACATCATGATAGTTATGCTGGAGACGTACAGACTTGCTAGGTAATTACTGACAATTTGTACCAGTGTATTGGACTCTTTTGTATTTGTCATTGGTAGGTTACTATTTGAACCCTTGTGCCCTATATTAAAAAAACTGTTTAGCAATATTAATATAAATTTGGGGGGTTTCTTCTCTCCTCCAGATTTGAGTCAAAAGGAGATCGAGATGTTGATTAAACTAACTCCATCGCCCTGGCTTCAACTGTTTGTCACACAAGCCATTTATAGGCAGCTGTGTTGCCACAATGGAATTGAATTCTCTGAGAAATCCTTCTCACTTAAACAAATTGTGAGTATTCCTGTAGCAGACTAATTAGTTGAGATTTGTCATTCTTGGGGTGGGGGGAGAGAAATTGTACGGTGTGTGTGCATATATTAATATATATGTATTGTTCTTCCTCCAATACTGTATTATGTGGCTTTGTTGGTGGATCTTTGATGAAGGTTCTTTTAGTAGAATTGTTGATTGAGAGCATGGGAATTGCTGCAAATACAAGTGAAACTATTGCTTAGCTTTGTGGTCCAGAATTTGGAATATCCAAAACCTGATCCCAGTCATGGTCACATTCATCCCGTGAAGCATTCAGTTCAAGGGAGTAACTTATTTGGCAGCATGGAAGTATGGAACTCAAGTTAATGTTTAACTGAAGTAAATCAAGTGATATTAATGGCATTTAGTGCTCCTGACAACTACAGTAAACTGTACACCATATGTTTTTGTTATAATATCCAACCAGGCTTAATAAGAATTAAGGAATGTGTTGTTCAAACATCCAATTTGAGCACCAAATGTAGTTCTAGGTTTTGAATCCTTCACGCAGCCCTTCACCCTTTCAAGTTTAATAAAATATGTGCCGTGTTGGCAGAAAATTATAATTTCTGGGGACCCAAGCGAAATCTCCCGAGTTGAACTGGTTCCTAGATGTAAATGGCTAATCCAGACAAGTCTACAGAATCCAAGTTTTTGATGTGCATCTGGCGCATCAAACAGACTGGTCGTCAACCCTGTGAGCAAATGACTCGTTAAGCAGAGTTGACTAGGTAGGAAAAAGGTGATATTCATGTATTAAAAGATAAAATATTAAAGATTAATTAGTGAGTTTTTTTTACCCCATTTGCATTTAAGAACATGTATGCATGTCAGCCAGTACTCTTAAGAAATAATGAATGTTGATGTTAGCAACCCTAATCAATTTGCAGAAATTGGTCAATTTATACAAGTGCTTTATAAATAACATAGTGTCATTCATCTTTTGTGGTGTTTGTTCCATCTCCCTGCCTTTAGGATCTATCTTCTGGGGATATTAGGCATTATGTCAATTTTCATCAAACCAACACATTTTATTTCTTATCAACAGAAAGAGAATTTTGCAGACTTTTTTGTTGCCCAGAATCTTAGTCTGACTAGAGAAATGGTTTAAGTTTTAAATTGTGAAATTAATAGGAGTGTGTGTCTTTTAAAAAAAATTAAATCGCATGGTATGTCCAATTATTGAATCAACTGTATTTTGACTATCAAAAACATAAATAAGTGTGATTGTTTAACCTCATAAAAATGAAACATGGTAACTCAGTATTTAAGAGTTGTCTCATTGGTATTAGTTACGATTATTATGTTTTAAACAATAAATCAGTTTTGCTGACCTTTGACATTCTAAGAGGGGTTGAGGAAAGTGAAATACTGTTACATTATTGTCTCTGGTACTTAAACAGTAGCTGTGCATTTGAAATGTCCATAGTTAGATATGCAGACAGAGGTGACAAACCAGGAGGGAAAAAGTACCTCAGGGCATGACCTTATATTAGATCAGTAGTGACTGAGTTTCAGAGCAGATGCCATTCAAGTCCCACTGAGGCTAGTCGACTGTGAACCTCATCGAATGAATTTTTCTGTCCTGATAGATCTCTTCATATTTAATGGCCCTGGGGAGGCTGGGCGGTTGTAGGCAAGTGGTGGTGAAGGACCCCAAGGGAAAGAAGATGGGGCACTGGCCTTGGCCTGAACCTTTGAGGCCGTCACTTACTCTAACTGGTGACAGGCAGAAGCAAGTGGAAATGCTGGGCATTCTAGCGTAAGTAATTCTTACAACAACGCTACTTTAAAGTGACTTGTGTGTGGGCTGTTGAACTGAAATGGTTCATAGCCTTTAGGTGACCTGTATTTTGCTGCTCACCAATCGCAGTCTGTGGCAGGAAGCCAACATTTTGTTTTATTTGAAATGGCATACCATTTCTACCTTTTAGAAAGGAAGTTCATTTAAGATGTTATACTTTCTAAGTTCATGTACAGTGTTTCCACGAACACAATCCTAAGAATCAGCCCACTATGGACTCCGTCAGTCAGACTGGCAATGCTGAATTTCGCACTATTCCAGATGCCAGTTCCTAATTTTAAAATGTAGTGAGGACCTCTGATTCTTTCCAGCAATTACTATACTCTAGGTAGACACAACACTAAACTTGCTATGAATGACTCATTCACTGAAAGTCAGTCCTGACTGCAGTAATGGTGAATGGAGACTCCTGGAGTCTCGCTCAGCACAGAAGTTGGTTTGCATAGACAGGGAAAATTTACATTTCCTGAAATATGAGTGATTGAATTTTATGATTTGTTACCTCAACTGCTTGAGGAAAAGCATCCGGTTTTCGGGTTTATGCCACTCTACCATCAAACACAAGATTGCTCACCCTGTAAGATAAGTTTCTAGTCTGTTGTTCACTGTTGCTTTGTTTGAGTGACCAAAGTGGCAGGTTACTGTGGAGCAGTCACTTCTGATCTATGAGTGTTAACAGGAGTCAACTGAATAAATGGAGGTAGTTCAGGCCATAGTGCAGGCATTCTCACAAAATAGTATTGCATTGCTGCAAACTGTTTCCTGAAAGACCTCGGGGTGATTGCCTGACGTTGATTGAGGTGGTTAAATGGGTAGTCAAAGTGGTGGGTCTTCAGGTGCAATTTGAAATCATAGAGGAAAGGGCTGAGGTGGAGAGATGTTGGCAGACAGAGTGAAAGGGAAGAGGTAAGGTGGCTGAAAACTAACCTGATGATGAGGAAAAAGCAGGTCGGAAGCATGAAGTTAAGCTATAGTTAGCAGAGCATGGGGAGTGACTGGAGGAGACTACAGAGATAATAATAATAATTCTTGTGTTTGATATTGCGCCTTATCACGTCTTCGAGACGTCTCAAAGCACTTCACAAAATATACTGTAAAGGGAATTGACTGTACTTTGTGGGTGAAATAGTGTGGCACAAGGTCATTGGAGACATTTGAAGATAAGGCACTTAATTGATCCAAGTTCAATATGGTCAGTGCCTGTGATCAGGGTGCATTGAGTGGAGCTCAGCAGGAGACCTCCATTTTATTGACATGGAGTAATGTTGTCGATGTTTAACATCCATGATGTGCAGACAGAATCTCAGTTTAAAGCCACTTCTGAAGAATGGCATACCTGACAATGCAGCACTCCTCCAGCACTGCACTTGAGCTCATAGGTTAAGTTGAAATTCAAATACCAACGTAAGTCTTAACCTCGACTTTTTGACTTGGAGGCAAGAATGTTATCAACTGAGACAATCTGACTAATAAATGAACTAAACGGCTACATCTCAAAATTCTTTAGCTGTTCTACATTGAAGGAACACGTTTTGTTGATTACAAAAGTATGTTTAGTCTCTAGTACATCTGTTAAATATACTCCTATTCAATATGTTTAGGAATCCATTTAACATACTCTTCGTAGTGTCAGTCCGGCTTAGCTAGTAGCCCTCCTGCCTGTGAGTCAGAAGGTTGTAGGTAAAAGCCTCATGTTGGGACTTTAAACTCGTAGCCTCGGCTTAACACTCGCCCTCAAAATATACAGTCAATTCACTCTGCAGTATATTCTGCGAAGCGCTTTGAGACATCTCAAAGGCATGATAAGATGCTATATCAAAAATAAAGCAAGGATCAAAAAAAATGCAAAGATTGTTGGAGGTTTGCCTGTTTATGTGGACATTAATGATCCCACTGTTCAAATAGATTTCTCCTGATGCCCTGGCCAACAGTCCCCCAAATAAAATTGGTCATTCACTTAACGGCTATTTGTGAGACCTTGCTGTGTGCTAATGGCTGCCGTGTTGACCTACAAAATATTGTCAGTACACTTTACAGTAAATGCTAGGAAGCACTTTTGAGACATTTTCCTGACATGAAAGGCGCTATATCAAATGGAAGTATTATTAATATACTCAAGTGAGTTTTGCTGCTTTGATCTCAATAGTGCTTCAGATTAATTTAACTTTTTATATGTCAGTGTTGCAAATTATGTTTAGAAGGTTCATCATCCCAGAGAGGATCGATTTCAAGATCCTCACCCTTGTATTCAAGTCCCTGCAATCCTCTGCACCCTCCTACCTCTCTGACCTCTCTCCTCAAAACAGTACCCGTTGCCTTCGTTCCTCCGGGTCTGGCCTCCTCCTCGTCCCCCGAGTCCTCCACTCCACCCTCGGCAGCTGTGCCTTCAGCCACTATGCCCCGAGGCTCTGGAACTGCCTTCCTCACTCCCTTCGCCTCGCTCCCTCCCTTCTTATTTTCAGGTCTCTGCTGAAGACCTTTCTTTTCGACCGTGCCGTCAGTCACCTTCCTTCCCCTCCCCCTGGCTCGGTCCCGGGATCCATTACTGTGAAGCGCTCTGAGACACCGTCCGTCATGGAGGGTGCTATATAAATCCAAGTTGTTGTTGTTATCACTGAGAGATAATGTTTCTGCTTTTTATCCATAGGAAACAGAATTGCCCATTAGTAACCAAGAAGTATTCTTTTCTGGAATCCGACAGCACAAATGATATTCAATATAGCCAAACAGATGTGTGTAAAGTAAATTTGAAAGGTAAAGGCTTAATTTATTTGATTACAAGTGGGGCTTAAGCAGTACTAGTTTTGATTCAATATTGTTCCTATAGTTTTGTGTGTAGTTTACTCTAAATGTTCTTTACCACCATGTACTTTTATTCCGTAAGAGTTTATTCCACAAGAAACAATGCATTTTCTTGCACTTAACTGCAATTGACCAAAAACGAAGAAGTTGCTTTTCAGCAAATGCACGTGGCAGTAATACTTGTCTGAAGAATGAACTTTCACTAATCTTTTACAACGTATTACAGTTGACCTGGTAATTTGATATTAGTGTGCACTGACTTTTACTATGAGTTCAATGAAAGTCTGAATAGTGCAAATGTTAAATTATTGGATGTGGAGCAAATTATTACACGCGGCTATTGAAGTTAAGTCAGTTATGACATCCAAAAGGCAATTAGATTAATGCATGAAGATTAAATATATAAAAGGAAGAGCAAGGAAATGGGATTACAATTGAGAGCCATAGTGGAGAACTAGCATGAAATGGCTCGATAGGCTGAATGCCTCTCTTTACCAAAATATATGATTTCTAAGCACAATGTTGAAAATAGTAAATATATAGCAGTATGATTCTCAAATCAGAATTCATTTACCACTGGCTGTACTTAATTTCTGTGCTTTCTGTACTTAATTTGATATGGTGCCTTTCTGCTAACTGGTCAGCTTCAGCATTAGAAATAGCTTTCAAGAGACCTGTTTTAAGTTTGGATTGTCACTGAAACAGAAATTGTATTGCATTTCGGTAAATTCAGCAATGCTCCTGGATTTTGTGCATTGGAAAATCCAAAGAATTAACACACAAATGAGATATGAGCAAGACATTTGGATTTAATAATTATAAATTAATGTCTTGGTTGAATTAGGTGCATTTCATTTCAAATAAGTTTTAATTAACCAATTCAGTGTCACAAATGGCAAAAATTCTGCTTTAAATAAAAATATATGGATCAATGTTTTCTATGTCCGTGGTCAAATATAAATAATATTTGCTTTCAATTTGGCCCAATGGACAACTAAGAAATTTTAAAAGTGCATTTTTAATGTTCTTATAATAATTCTTGCATTTGATATAGCACCTTATCAGGTCGTTAAGATGTCTCAAAGCGCTTCATAGTATACATTGTAAAATGGATTGACTGTATTTTGAAGGTGATTGTACAGCCAATCAACTCTTTAGGCTGTAAGTGTAGTTGAGACTGAGAAATCTAAATCAGTTCTCTGCTCCAAATATTTCTACTGTTTTAAAAAAAATTGTGGGACATCATCGCCAGCATTATAAACCAAGCATTAAATACTGTGCATTTGTCACCATCTACTTCCAGTTTGATTATGCCTCTCTTCACAGCCCAAATAAAAATGAATGTAAGAATTAACAAACCGATTTAACATTGGGACGTCCTCCCGACATGAAAGGCGCTATACAAATGTAATCTTGTTGTTTTTAACATTAGTAGCGTAGCAATATTTTGATTTCACAAGTTCACTAAATTCTAACATTTAAAATTATTGGTGATTAGAAGCAAGTAATAAAGCTTATGACTTAATCGGAGTTCACATGATGATGTAAATTTATGTGACACTTCAGTGTCTTATGGACATAATCTGAAACCATGAGCTCTGTGCCATGTTTCTATATAAATTAGACTCTGGTCTGAATATAAAAAATTGAATGATACTTCCTTTGCCCAAATTCTATCAATAATATACTTAACTCGATAGATTATTTGATGCAGTTTCTACTACTCTATTATTTGGTCCAATTCTGAATTTATTGCTTTCTCCTGGGTGTTTGGTTGACCTTTCTTTTCAGATGGCTCCTTAATGTTATGAAATAGCTGAGTGTAAAGTTCATTTCTGACATGAACTCTATTCTAGGTTTAAATCTTATACTTTAATGATGTAACTGAAGGGAATCCTTGTTGAAATCCTTTCCTATTTCACTTTAGATAAGGATTAAAACTCTTAAACTGAATATACTCTGATAGAAAAGGCATCTCTGTGGAGTCCTGTAGCTTAGTAGTTAGGCACTCGCCTCGCAAGCGAGAGGATCTGGGTTTGATTCCCGGGCAGGGCGAAACGTCGGGCAACTTTCCTTCATCCACATGCCTCTGTTTAGCAGTAAGTAGGAACCCAGTTGTTAGTCGATCACTTTTCTGGGGATAATAATCCCTACAAAAAAAAATAATAATAATTTCAGCACCTTGAGACGTCCTCCCGATGTGAAAGGCCCTTTGCAAATGTAATTTTGTATTGTAATTTGGTCACTCAATCTATGACTGTTTGTGGGACACTGCTGTGCCCAATTGGCTACCGCATTTCGCCCACAAAATATGCAGTCAATTCACTTTACATTATATTCTGTGAAGTGCTTTGAGATGTCCGAAGACGAGATTAGATGCTATATCAAATGCAAGGAATATTATTATTATCTCAGAATCTTCTTTCCTTCCAGTTCCTCAGATTTTTAAACAGATAAGTCTATAAAATACATGGTCACTACAGTTGGCAGTAATCCTGTGATTTGAGACGTCCTCTCAATGTGAAAGACGCTATACAAAATGCAAGGATTATTATAAGATTATTAAGTCTGTAAATTGGTTAAATATAATATTTACTCATAGAGGTTCAAGGAGCTCCTCTGAAACCAAACAAAACAAACGGTAGCCCACAAAGTAACTGACTATCTGAATGGTGTCTATCACATTGAGAAGGAACTTGCTCAAGGCACTATCCTTGTATTGAAGATTATCTGCCATCCCTAATTCATGTTTGAAATGGCAATCTTTATAAACCTGAAGGTGGATGTTGCCGGGAAAGTATTAGAGGAAACCATGTGATTATGCACAGTATCAAAAAGTTTTGGCGAATACTTTTTTAAGATCTTTTCAGGATAAAGAACTAATGAAGGACGTGATAGACCCAACCATTCCAGAATCAACATATTTGGAATTATTAAAGGGTCAATTTCCGCTGAGGTGTTTGCTAGATGATAAATTTATGCAGCACTTTGGGTCACTGAATAACAATATTGATTTTAAAAGATTTTTTGGAGAGATTTTTGATCTGGACTAAAAAAAGTTTAAAAAAATTACTTCTGAATTCCAATGATTTCAATATGAATCTGAGCTGCTGACACCCTCAGTCATACCTTCATCACCAGCCTCCAGGGTCCATTACTTGATTCCCTCCCCAGGCTTCCCTACATAAATTGCAGACTGACCAGATCTATAGCCTGTACCATCTTCTGCATCAGACTCCATAATCCTCACTCAGCTCTGCCAGCTCCCTATTCCGCAGCAGGTTGAATTCGAGATTCTCATCCTCACTTTCAAATGCCTCTATAATAATAATAATAATAATAATCCTTGCATTTGATATAGCACTTTTCACGTCGGGAGGACGTCCCAAAGCGCTTCACAGAACACACTGTAAAGTGAATTGACTGTATATTTGTGGGCGAACGCGGCAGCCAATTGCGCACAGCAATGTCCCACAAACAGTTGTAGATTGAAAATGACCAATTTATTATTGTTTTTGGTTTTGGAGGGATTATTATTAGGCTCTGTGTGGAGTAAGGAAACTTGCCCAAGGTTTCGCCCTCTGCCTGGAATTGAACACAGGTCTCTCGCTTGCAAAGCGAGTGTTCTAACCACTGAGCTACAGGACTCCACATGTCTACATACACATACAGGACTCCTCTATGTCTAACTGAATATTAGAAATGGGTGTTGATCACCCTTCCCTAAAAAAATTATAGTTTTAATACATAATAAACTACAATAAAATCATATTGCTACTTACCAAGTATTAAAAAGCAGAATATCGATAATCTGTAATGTTAGAATTTGCACTGCAAAAATTGGTCCTTGTGTATAATGAAAATGTACAATATTTGATAGCAAAACAAAGTGTGAGTCAAATATTGTGCTTAATCCTGGTTCATTCAACTTGTGAAAGTGATTCTTAGAAACTTTTGAAGTAAAATATTGTTATTAAACTCCCAACAGTTACCCTCTCTATATTATCTGTCAGAAGATCCCTTGGCAGCTTACATATTTTGTCTATTTTCTCTGAATCCATGCATATGTGGGCTGTCAAGAATGGCACAGTGAATATCAAGTGATTGACTTTTTGTTTGTGGCATATGTAACCATGCAAAACTAATGCAATTCTGTTGTTTTGCCACCTTCCTAAGAAGAAATCATATATACACAGACAATTTAATCTTGTACATGATTTCATTCACTATTAAAAAATCTGAACTTGCACTACAATTGTGGTTGAACTTTTCTGGTTATTGTGCATTTGGGTACTAACCTCTTTCTTTCTCCTCTTCTCTTTCTCTCTTCCCGCCCCCCCTCCACCTCTTCCCAATGACCACCAAGCGTACAAAGAACTTCACTTTAATGTAGAGACTTTGCTTCCACCTTCACGGTAACAGCCCATGAACTCCTCCTTCTGCATTCAGGATATCTACTGAGCTATAAAATTAGACTCTCAAAATTTGTACCTTTTTAAATGTGCTTTGAAAAGACTCCTTTTTATCTGTAGCAGAATTGGACATCTGTTCTAACTTGCACATAAATTGCACAAGTCCTGATAAATCTTCATCAATTCTTGTTTAACATTGACCTTTTTCCCCTTTCAGTTTGTGGCATGCTTTAATGCAGAGTTTATCTGGTCAGGACTCCCACAGTGGATTACTAAACCATGTTATTAGTTGACCTGAATTTCCAACACAATACTGGCAAGCTTGGCGGCACTCGTGCTTGACGAACTAAATTCTTTAATACCCACACTTTCACATGCATTCTGAAATACAGACGTTTGTTTAATAAATGCATTGGATTAACAAATGAATCTGGGAAATCAGGTGACCATGTTAACCAGAGAGCATTTCTCTCTGGTACTGCCAGCTGTTTTGGATTGTTTGAGGATATGTGACTGGAATTATCTGAAGTCTTGTTCCTGCAGAAAATCTTTTGAAAACATTGTACTAAATCCACGTAGCGTAACTTCTTGACTGCAGTCACTCTCGACCACATGATAGTTACTGTGAAACTGATGGGAACAAACTAGTATGTGCTGACATCAGAAAAAAACAGCTTGGCTTGAAATTAGAGTGTGGATATCTTGGCCAATTGCCAGCATATTAAAGAATCCTTCAGTGATTTGCTTATTTGACTGGTTTGAAATCTTGCCTGTTGAAATGTATTCCTTTCTTCCCACTGCCAGGAGAAATACACCTGCACAATGACTGTGTACAGCATAAAATGGAAAAGGTCAGCAAACTTCAATCAGTGACTGATACTGACATCAATCTCAAAGGTATGCACCCTGAAAATCTGTACCCATATGTATAAATTGACTTACAACTTAATTGCAAAAGGAGGATCCTCAAATAGGTGTACCTTGTTGATGAATGACTTTGAGATCCAATAGCATTTTTCTGTATAAATTCATTGAATATTATGGCAGGCATGTGAGTTGAGTCAGTTCATATCAGTTATTTGGGGGGAACAATTTTGAAAAATTCTATTTCCCCTCCACCCTATTATTAAAACTGTGGGTTTAGAAGAATTTTACCACTTTTAATGTAAACCCATATTATAGTGTCGTATGTACTTGTAGTCCTTACTGGCTGGTCGCCACTGCATGGAGCCATAACCATGGCTGCATAGGGTGTATTCGTGAAATCACTGGTTGTTGCTTCCACATTCACTTCACATTACTGCAGAAAGCCAGCTGGCTTCCAATGCTTAAAAAATGGCAGAGTTCCAGATTGTCAGATCGTCGCCAACGGCTCTTCCTACGGCACTGCACAGGAAGCGACATTGGAGACCTAACAATCCAGGGGCCAGACTTGTTCTTTTGTGCAGTGAAGGCGGCTGATATTTTGAAGCAAAATAATGCGATTTGAAGCAAGCGTGGTGACTTTCTGCAAGCATTTTTTTTTGTTCTGATGTGTGTCAGGGTCCACACCCCAATCACAGGCTGTAAGGGAACCTGCCTTATAATGAACGCATGTTATTAACAGGATTCTGTTTTATTTGCAAAAAACAGTCGACAATTTATTTGCTTCTTAAGATAAGATTTTCTGTTCCAATTAATAGATGTCGCCTCAATTTGCTTAGGAAAATCAGCACTTTGCCTAATATTTAAAAATGTTGAGTTGCATTCTATTGCTCAAGACTTCGGAGTGTGAAATGTAACTCCATACGTTGCCATCCCATGGAGGGAGGGAATACCGTGCAAAATAAAAGCTATGCACTTGGAAAAGGAGTCTAAATGTAACTAGGTCCCGTGTTTTGTACTCTTTATGATTAAGTGCAGACAGACCTTTGGAAACGGCACATGCACACCTTCTGCAAAATGAGGCTATGACATGAAAATAAGGGAAAGAACAATAAAATTACTTCAATTTACTTTTTAAATGCGATTCAGACTGTAAATACTTTAAAGCTGAAAAAAAAACACTATTGCAGGTGGATGACTAATCCAGCAGGAAATTACTCTAATTGAGATTAATTCAATCAAAATCGGCAATTACAGGATGTTCCAAAATTTGATTGTTTCCTGATATAAATGAAAACAAATGCTGGAGATTGCTGTTGTCTGACTGATCAACCATTCATGTCGCATTTTTTGTGTGTTTGATGCAGTTCAAACATTGAATGGAAAGGAACGTGAAACGTGTTACATAACTGAAAATAATTTGAAAATGGATAATATGAGAAATGAGCTGGGTGACATTAAAAAAAACTAGTTTTTTTGTTTTAAATTGAAAGAGCTTGAAAAGGCACCACAAAAAGTGGCAAACTAGTAAATAGAAATGTGTCAAATATACTGACCCTGTTCTGGGTAAACCCTTAGATTAAGCATTTGCTTTATTACACTAATTTCTACAAAGGTTTAATAGTGAATGTTAATTTGTAAAACGTAAGCTGAAAGATGATGCTTTTAAGGGAGATCTTACAAACTTTTACTTCCTTACTGCAAATTTGTAGTTAATTTAAGAGATTAATAGTTAATTTAATCTTTTTAGTTTTGTGTGATGTGGTGCAAGAATCCAGAATATAATTCTGAATAATTTTATGAACTCTATTTTGCTAAGGAATATAAAGGCATTACATTTTCTTTATTTGAAATGCAGTATAAGGCACAGAAAAATATATTTGGTAAATGATACAAATGCAGATCTACTGAACAAAGTTAGAAGTGAATAACATTTTACCACTATTTTGTTTTTCTCACATTTCTTGGCCTTTATTAAAACCTCAATATAGTGAGACTGTTGCATCAAGCCTGATTTTTAAGTTGTCAATTCTGAAGTTCTCTCCTGCCCCCTAATGGTTCTTTTTAACTTAGAGTATTGTTGATGCAAACCTGATTTCCTTTGCTCATCCCCCGTTGCCGGTATTGTTCATTTACTCTTTAGTCATGGAGGAGGTTTAAGCCCACAAGTATCTAATTTATGTGGATGCTAGGCAGTTGACATGCCAAGCCAATATTTGGACTCGGTGATATGAAAGCCAATATCATATCATGTCCTGTTCCTCAATGGGCAATGGCAGACTGCTGACATGTATATGTTCCAGGGCATTGAAAAGAATAGGAAGGGCTGGCATTTATTGTCATGTGATAAGAGATCTGCAAGCGCTTGATCTGCTGGGAATTGTAAAATGTGTGTGAAGGCTTATCCACAGTCATATTTTTGTCGCAATCTCGGTTTTGGCTTGTCAAGCCAGGATCACTTTGTTCAGATTTTCAGTTTGGTTATTCTGTGTTCTGCTTATCAGAGGCTGCTACCTTCTGCATGATAAAATATTGTATAAGATGTATCAAATTCTCGCCTCTGAGTTAGAAGGTTATGGGTTTAGGCACTCACCAGGGCTTGTAACTCATATAGTCTAAACTGGCACTAGAGTGTAGTGCTAGGGGAGTGCTGCATTGTTGGAGATGCTGTCCTTCAGATGATACATTAAACCAAGGCCCATATGCCTGTTCAAATGGACTTTAAAGATCCTATGGCGCTATTAGAAAAGAGAAGAGTTTATCCCAATGTCCTGCCCAACAATGCCCCAACTAAAATTGGTCATTTAATATGAATATGAATTGGCTGTTTGTGGGACATTGCTATGCACAATTTTGCTGTCTCGTTCATTCACAAAACACACAGTCGCAACACCCTACAGCATATTCTTTACAGCACTTTGGGACATGAAAGGTGTTATACCAAGTATATGGATTATTATTATTCATCTCCCCCTCCCAGATACATTGTAAACTGTTTTGAAATATTACCAGCTCAGATACTTCTGTTAAACTTTTTCTGCATTCTTTATGCATTGGTCTTTTTCAGTTTCTCACTTGTGAAGTCATTCCAATGGTTTGGGGATTGGGTTCAGTTTGGTTCACCATCTCAAAGTAATATTGTTCATTTCCATCAGAGGCATCACTTCAGATCATTCTGAGGGCTGATTACAGGTGTCCAAAAAGGAAAAATCATTAATAGTTGGTAATGCTGTGCATTCGGGAGTATTTCTGGTATGGGCGATGTGTAAGTTTCCTTAACATTTATGCTTCCGAAAGGGAAATTGCTGGAGGTCTATTTTCATCGATTATTTTCAGAAGTTTGATGCCAGATAAAGCATTCTCTGCACTTCCATTGCAAACCCTGATTTAAGAATGCTTCTACTATTCCAGTAGGCCATTGTTTTGTGGTCATCTTTGTTGGCACTGTGCTTTTTATTCATACCCACTAGGAGTTGGATTAAAGCTGACCAAATTGATCTCACTTATTTCTAAGCAGGGATGTATGCAACCTCTGCCTTTCGCAGAGATTGTGGAAGAGTTTTCTGACCTATTTTGTCATGCAATCCCGATCTATTCAAAGTTAGTTCGTTAAATAATGTAACCTGAAAATTCTGAGTTCATTAGTTTACTGATCACTGGGATGGTAGATATTAAACCCATTGTCCATTATGCATCACTTGATTTATTCAACAAATTTACACTATACCAATTGAAAAAATAAAAGTAGAATTTTGTATTTTACAAAACTAATGGTTAGACTAGACATGTATGGTTTTGCTGTGTTTAGTTTTTAAACTTGCATTTAGTTTTTAAACCTGTGGAACAGGTTAGGAAATAACATTATGAGATATAGTACATAGGTGGTTCAGGACATGTCCATGCGACCGCCAGGAAGGTGGAAGGCGAACTAGATGGACCCTTGGTCTTTTTTTCATCTATCATTTCTTATGTTATACGCCTTGGCATAAGTACACATGGATCAAAACTTTTTGCTGCACCTGTGATACTATATGTGGCATTTGTCTGTGATGCTGCAACACTTTGCAATGTTTCAATTATCATCCTTTCTGTAACATGGTATGAATAACACATAACATGCATCAATATAAGAAATGAAATGTTGTTCAGTTAATAGATTGCACTATGGTTGATAAATAAATAACAAAAAAATGTAATGCCTACCCCTGGTAATTACCTTAATTGCCTATGCTCTCTATTTACTGATTATTCTTAATAAAAAGAAATTTTAAAAAATAATTAAATGAAGTGAGGAAGGCAATAGAATATGGGAAATCAGGCACTGGAATTTTCTGTCACTGATTTGCTCACTGTTATGATCGGTGATTCACCTAGGTATTTACTGTAGACTAAATCAGTTTTAAAACACTTTCCCTCGGCAGCCAGAATACACTATAACAAGTTAATTGTGTCAGCGTTAGTTACTGCCTAAAGTGGTTACAAATGAGCCCGAAGTGACTAAAACAGTGTTTTCTTTTCACTCATGTGTAAATGCCATAAGTATTAATACATGTCATTGTTCCTACAGGATCTGTTTTGCCACAGCAACAAGACCGCCTAGGAAAAACACCCCGAGAACATATTGATTGTCCACAGCTAAAGAACAATCACTCTGCTATTAGTGAAGTTGGAATAGTGGAAGCTGCTGAAAGCAAATTTGGAAATGTGAATACAGACATTAATCCTCCTCAAACTGAGCCTAGTACTTATCTGTGGTCGATACTTCTGAAGAACTACATTGATAATCATAACTTATCTTTAATTTGGCACGAGTTGAATGATGAAAATTCAACTTTGAATCGAGTTTCATTTGCAGGGAAGGATGGGTTTGAGAATCTCTCCAAATGCTTTCCCGGCAAGCTGATGGTGCAGTATATTGAAGATATTAAAGTCTACGAGGAACTTCCAAAGTATATCCAGCAGGTGCTAGATAATCTGAGGAACACTTCTGTGGTACTTGGAACACAGACAGAGTTCCTGTTATTGCATATGGAGTCCATGGTCGTTAAATTTTAATTCTGAAACAAGAAGACTATTTTGAGCTACTGTAAAACTACCGATAAAGAATATTTGATCTACGGTGGAAATATTCTCTGAATAAGGACTAACATGAATAGAATTGGAAGGTACAAGTTAAAAGTGGATTTGGGATTGCTTTTAATGTTTTAGTTACAATTAGTATATTTTCTACAAATTTGCAAAATTAAAAGATATTCATTTGGAAAGATCCAAGACTGTTTCTGTATCCATGCTTGGGAAAATGTGACATTGGGAAGCAGAGACAAAAAATCATAATACTTTTTCTATTGTGGGAAGTGTTACGTTTAAGTTGCACAGTATTTGCTTTGTGAAAAGCATGGTTAAAAACCATTTCATTTATATTTAACTTTTGTTTCTCTTGCTCTAGACTCCATGCCACATTGGAAAACTTCTAGTTTGTATGTTTATAGTACTGATACAAGGGTGAATTTAATTTCATCTTTATTTTGCAAAATTGTAAAATCTTAAAAAATGAAGACAAGCCAATCACAATATTGTTGTTAAATGTTTTGAAATTGTTCTGAATTTGTATGTATATATTATATATTATATAATAGAGAATGAGAGATAGCTGCACTGTAGAGAATGGAGAATTTTTTTATTAGATCTAGATGCAGTGCAACTGCAGCTGATTCTCAATGAAACTTAACTTTGGTCTTGAGATTTTTACATCAAAGGTTCCAATAAAAGATGTTATATCAAATAGTTACTGATGTGTATGAGCAATTGCCTAGAATTTTTTTTGCTAAGAGAACAGGCCATCCCCTTGTGAAATGCAGACAATGAAGTGTAGACAAAAAGTGCAGTGCAGACAAATCTATGGACAGTCATCTGATTCCTTCAAGGGTAAAATGTGTTCATGGGAAAAAGGTCTCTTCCCGCCCCCCACTTTCCTCTAGGAGTGAATATAATCCATTTAAACATTGCTATTAGTGGCATCTATTTAACCAAAAATATTAAAGTAGACATCCTCATGTGAGCCTCACGTTTCCCTCTGCTCCAGGCCACTTTGAAATTAAACACTCCCTTATGGTTTCCAGGTCAAGTGTGCATGATTTTTGAGGTTGATGTGCCATTAATACCATTAACTGGAACATGCTCAGGAAAGTGATTTGGAGAATCTAAGGAGTTTATATGTTGAAGGTGAAGAATTGCTGAGATTATGGCAGTCTTCAGATTGCTTTGTCCAGTTTTAATTTGGGTAATCAATGCAGAAATTAAAATCAGCTGTATTTCTTTCAACCAAAAAATTAAACCTTTGCTAATCAATATTTCAACTGAACAATAGTTTGATAATCAAATATAAACCGAGGGAAAACAGGACAAAGCTTGTGTAACCTCAACTAATGACACCATGGTGGAAAAATAATGCCGAATGTGCTGATAGTGGTATTCTATAGCTGTTTTTACTATATATTTAATGACACTAGGGTAGATGAATAATGTGATTATGTATAGCAATGTGAACTTCTTGACCAAATGGAGGTAAAGTAATCTTGTAACAAAAAATTGTGTCTAAAATAAATAACTATTTAGAAATTTTGGGCAGTATGATTCACTGAAGATTTTCAGTCAAAGGGAAGCTGCTGTCAAAGAAGTTGATTGATATTACATTTAATCTATAAAGCTTTACCTGTAAATTAATAGATCATAGAGGTTACAAACGCATTGAGATCATTGGTGAGGTTGCATTTGGGATCTAATGTGGTCATTTCGCACTACCCTATGTTCAGAAGTGCGATGATGAAGCATTGGAAAGAGTTTGGAGAAGAGGCGTGAAAATGACTCAGGAGATGAAGATGTTAGCTGAGTTTTTTTTTTAAATGCAGGAAATACGTTCCAGGTTTTTAAATTTGTGGAAGATATGAATTATGCGGATTAAACAGCAACAGCATTTATAAAGTGCCCCTCATGCAGGGTCTGCCAAATATACTATATGTATATTTTATCATCCTGTACATTCCTATGTATGACTGATTTCCCCTGAAGAAATAAAGCATCTCAGAGCTCTTGAAAGTAGCGGAACCTGACACCGAGCCAGGGGTGGGTATATGACTGCAAGCACAGTTGAAGAGTTTAGTCTTCAGGTTCGACCTGAGATGGGGAAGGAGGAGACAAGACGGAGGAATTGAGGGAGAGTGTTCCAGTGTTTGGGGGCGTAGTGGCTGAAAAAGCGGCTGCTGATGGTGGAACGGAGGGCACAAGGGGCAAGCAAGAGGCTGGAGCCAGTCAAGTGGAGGTGATGGGTAGTCGATTGGGGAGTAAACAAGTCAGAGAGTTGGAGAGGTACCAGGGCATGAAGGGATTTTGAAGAAGTGTGTGAGGATCTTGCAATCAATCTGTTCGGTGATAGGGAGCCACTGGTAAGATCTAGTGTGATGGGCATATGGAGTTTAGTGCAGGTGAGGATGCAGATGGCAGAATTTTGGATTAACTGAGTTTGTGGATTGTGGAGTGGTGAGGAGGGAGAACACATTGAAGAGGGTTTCAGCTGTGTTTGGGGTAAATACGGTCGGAGCCAGGCAGTATGGGAGGTGAAGGAAAGCAGTCCTAGCCAGGGATCAGATGAGGGGTAAGGAAGGTCAGTTGACACCTAAGTTGTCCATTAGGTCACTGAGTCTTGGAAATAGATCGGGGAGGTTGAGGAGGACAGAGCAGCAGGAGAGTAGATGTTGACAGGAGACAAGGAGTATGGCTTCCGTCTGGTCAACATTCATCTGCAGGAAGTTTGTGCTCATCCAGGCCCCGATGTCTGCCAAACAAGTTGACAGAACATCAGAGGACCTTGAGTCACAGCTGGAGAAGTAGATTAAAGGTTGTTTAGAACCGGAGAGAACTAGAAGCTAAGTTTAAAATAAAAAGAACTTAAATAGGAATAGTTTTTGGAATTTATGAAATTAAATCACACTGCATTTTCTAGAATTATGATTTACCGTAATTACTAGGACATCCGCAAAATGAGATATTTGCTTGATTTCTTCATTGGAAATTATCATATATGGGAATGTATAGGATGGTAACATATATGTATATCAGGCAGATCTCAAATATATAATTTTAAAACCTCTCCTGTCCCTCAATTTATTTGGCAAATATCTAATTCACTCTTGAATTTGCTGATACAAGATATAGAGTGTAAAGAACAAAATACAGTACTCCATCGGATGGTTTCTGCTACTTCAGGAGATGCAGAGGTGATGGGAGTTATGATCGATTACTTTCGTGTGGCTCTGGAAAGAATGCCTCGTGACCTTTTTCTCATTCCATGCTTAGTTCTAATTTCTTCCTGTGAACATAAGAACTGATTCAGAAAATAACAGGCACTCTGGTGTTTGTAACCTTGCTGCTTTTAGAACCTGCTGTTATTAATGATCTCGGGATATTGATAGCTACTGACCTGTTCTGTTCTTTCACCTTTTAAAAAGCATACATTGACTGACTTTGAAGTAGGATAGCATGAATTGTAGTTATGCAAGGTGCTGATGTTTGTTGCGTGTCTCTTGCAATGAGTGCAACTTAATGGTCAGTGGTAAAAATGTAAGCAGTCTTTCCCCTGTGGGCTGAACTAAACTGCTTTGAAGATTCTTGGTGTGTGGAGACCCATCAGAGGAGGGTTTAATGTATTTGTGGTAAATGGCCTTCCTTTCCTGTGGGATTTGACTAGAGTTTGAATGCTTTTATGAAAATTGTATCATTCAAAATCAAAGAAATTAATCCTTCCCAGCACCAAAGTGTTTGTCTTTGAACACAGCCAGTTTGAATCACAGTTTGTATAAATGTCAAATCCAAGGCTTTCCTTATTGGATGATCTCAGTCAGAAGTAAAACTGGAAGAGTCAATACACGGTTCATCAGCTAAGCTGCAGGACTGCTGTGTAGGTGGACAAGGTCCCTTAGGCAAAACTACCTCATCCCATGTAACAGAACTGAACGCATCTAAGAAGCCCTTTTGCAAACATTCATAGTGTAACACTCAGCAAAAATGTCAGTCTACAGTACAACCATTTCTTGTACAGTAGCAATGCAAAGAATACAAATATAATTCAAAAAGAGAAATCCTGATCATTATAATAACCCTTGCACTTTGATATAGTGCCAATGTCTCAAAGTGATTATGAATTTATAGGTAAAGCCAACACCCATGGGCCAAGAAGGCACAGGAGGTGTCAGTGTTTTAGGTGTTCATAATTCTCTTTCTTTCTCAAAAAAGTGATTTGGGTAAAGTTCAATGGAAAGCACAGATGTCTAGTAACTTGATCTGTAATTTTTTTGCAGGTGAACATGGCAGCAACTTTTGGAATGTTCCACAATTAACCATTTAGTGTAGGACCAATTTTACCTGGGGGAATGTTCACCAGTTTCACTGGGTAGAAACTCCTTTCTCTCTTCAAATAAAACCATGGGATCTTTAACATCAACCTGAAGAAACGGATGGGACCTCAGACAATGCAGCAATCTTTCAGAACTACACTGGACTGAATTCAGTGTCCCGAAATGGAGTTTGAACCCAGAACCTTCTGACTCGAGAGACTGGAATGCTACTAACTGAGCCAGGGTGACACCTAGTACTAGAGGGTGTATAGTAAGTTCGGGGCTCATTGTTGACCTGAAAGGCTTCATGGTTGGTATTATTGTGCTTCACTTTTTAGGGGATAAGAAAGATCTGAACTGAGTGTTTTAATTGGCTTTTTACGGTTGAGTAGTATATGTTTGATATATATTACGATGAACTTTTATAAAATACTGGTTAGGCCTCAGCTAGAGTACTGTGTTCAGTTCTGGGCACCACACTTTAGGAATGATGTCAAGGCCTTGGAGAGGGTGCAAAGAAGATTTACCAGGAATGAGGGACTTCAGTTATGAGGAGTGGCTAGAGAAGCTAGGATTATTCTCCTTGGAGCAGAGAAAGTTAAAAGGAGATTTAATCGAAGTGTTCAAAATTATGAGGGGATTCAATAGGGTGAACAAGGAGAAACTATTTCCACTGGCAGGTCGGTTGATAACCCAAGAGCACCAATTTAAAATAGTTGTTAAAAGAAACGAGGTGAGAATTTTTTTCACACATTGAGTTCAGATCTGGAATGCATTGCCTGAAAGGGTGGTGGAAGCTGATTCAATAACAACTTTTAAGAGAGATGTAGATAATTATTTTGGGAGGACAAGTTTGTAGGGCTACGGGGAGAGAGTAGGGGAGAGGGAATTATTTGGATAGCTCTCAAAGAGCCGGCAGACATAATGGTACGAATGGCCTCTTTCTGTGCTGTGTAATTCTTTGATTCTATGTTTCATGTTACAAGTGTTTTCTTTACTGGAGGTAGCTAATGGAAGATGTAAATGAGCTATGTTATTTAAGACTGAAGTATGGTGTGTGGCTTTGACTTTTGATTGCAAGAAGGGATAATTTTTTTTAAAAAAGAGATGAGTCTTTTATTGAGACTCATTATATGAGACACAAATTAGATGGTCTTAACAAAGTGGATGATCCGAAAAGATCCAAACTGTTGGAACCAAAATCTTTGTGTGGGTGTGGATGTTTTTGTAACCCAACACAAGTGGACATAAACTCCTTCTGGGATGGCTATCAAAGGCAGAATTTCAGATGTAATACCTTTGTTACTTAGCCAGAAAAGTTTGAACTTTTTTTTCCCCCTCCCCTCCCTTCTCCCCTCGCTGACCCCAGGTCGGGTCTGAAATTCTGTACTGTCCAGCGCCTTGGGACGTCCTCCTGATGTGAAAGGCGCTATACAAATGTAATCTTGTTGTTGAACTATTGTGTTTCACAAAATGTCATACAAAATAATATATAATAATAAATAATAATTTGGTCATTGAATCCATGACTGTTTGTGGGACACTGCTGTGCATAATTGGCTGCCGCATTTCAGCCCCAAAATATACAGTCAATTTACTTTACAGTATATTCTGTGAAGCTCTTTGAGACGACTCGAAGACATGATAAGGCGCTATATCAAATGCAAGGATTATTATTGTTACTGTTGAGATTTATGTTCGTTGTGCTAAATCTTTAGGTGGAGGTTTTCACAACAAAGTCCAATCTTGCTCAATATAAATATTGAGAAGTGAAATCGTCAGAGTTCCATGTTCTGCTCTGTCCTGAGAACAGACATCTGGAGGTGAAGGGCTGCTTGGAAGGGAGGGGCAAAGAGAAACTCCAAAATTAGTATTTCATTAAATGAGTACTGTAATCACAGCTGTTCCTACCACCACCTTGGTTAGCTTGCATGGTGGTCCTATCAAGTACAGCTGCACAATGACTAACAACTCTGTGGTACATGGATTGAACTTCTTATTTATGTCTTCCTATATCATTCTCTGAAAACATATTGCTCAGTTTTGCATGATTCAACATATAGAAATATTCGGATGAAGGCGGACCTTTCATTGTACTCTATCTCTGCAGAGCAGTTGTGAAATGGCAGAACTAAAGTTCAAGTTCAGTGTGAGGTTTCTTTCCCCTCATTTCATACTGGAAAGTTTTTAAAGGCAGGATAGCAAGAAGATGATGCCAATATCTACTTGTGTTCAAGTTTCTTGCTATTCTCTGCTGAATTATTACTTCAATCACTTTTAATCAACAGCACGTTTTTAAAGTTAAACATAACAGCCCTTTTTCTGAACATCACAGTAGAATTCCAAGCTTGGGCTCAATGTAGAATGCTCATCTATTTTACTGTAAAACCGAGCATAAAGCATTTTGATTTGAATAGACTATTTTTAAATGATCTTTAGCAAACGTGTTGTGATATTACGTTGTCATATAAGATCCCAAAATATTGTTCTCTGTTTTCAGCAAGTTTTGTATCCTTTTTCCTTACACTTTTTCTCAAGGGCTCTGGGATGCTATCCTGTGAGGGACGCTATATAAATGCAAGTTGTTTTTGCTAATTTCTACCCTAATGATTTTTCGCCTATGAACAGACATATGGGAAAGGAAAGTTCTGGTTGGTTTTCAAAAGAACATTTGCAGTTCATACTTCACCATTGTAGTAAATATAACAGGATTTAAATCTAAAGTTAGACTAGCTCAGGAAGAAAAAGTACTGCCCAATATGTCCATTCTAGTTAGCTGATCTCATCGGAAGTAGTAAGCAATACAGTATAAGGGGCCTCGGTGCTCCTCTGTTAGTGCATCTATTCAGTTCCTACAGTTTTAACACTCACACATCGAGAATGATCACTTGCATAAGATATGGGATCCCATGAAACTTACCATGAGCCACAAACTTCAAAAGAAGAGTGAAAATAAGGCACTTCAAAACAGATATATACTTTAGACGTCTGTTTTGGCTTCAAGAATTTCGAATGATCTCAAAGTGTGATGACTCAAACCTTGTAGGTAGTTAGGGAGGTAGTTTGTTTCCTCTCCATTCAACAGAAAAGGTATTTTGTAATCTCCTGATAGCATAGACAGACAGATAGAGACAGACCTCCCTTCAAGATTCAAAATACTCTACCAGGTTGCAGGCTATTTGATTCTTAGTGTTTAGTTGAATATTCCAACCGGTGCTATCAAATGAACAGACTTCAGACTGTCATGGCATTATTAAGATATAATCCATATATTTATCAACTGACAAGTACATTGACTGAGTAGCTGGTTGATTGATCATACAAACTGCCTTCTGACATTAATCTTATTAAAATGCACTATGCTCCTGCTGGAGAGTCCATAACTAAATCTAATTAATGTAAGTTTTACCCATTCAGATTAAATTATACTGGTTGGTTTGAAACGGTCCTGCTAAAAAAAAATCCCAGGTGAAAAAAATGATAGATTTATGCAATTTTGACAACTTTCCAGGCATGTTCTAGTCACACCGATTAGCCCTTAAATACGTCAAAACTTAATGCATGAATTATGACCACAACTAAATTGTAATTTACTGGGGCTCTTTTTGAGGAGTGCAAATTTTTCAGAACAAAGAACTATTGGATCTGTTATTCTAAATACGTGAATACAATGCAATGTGTGGTTATTAAACAATTTGATTCTATTAAACTGTGCTTTGAATTCTGGTAATCATATTTAACATTCTGGTTTGGAGGTATGTACCCCTTTCTGGTCCCATGTCTCTTTACCTGCCATGTTATGACTTGTCTTATCAAAAAAGGATGGTGCCTGAAGGAATGTATTAATTTTAGCAACTGACCTTCATTCTGCAATGTGTGTCATATTCATTCAGTTTCTATTCTGGTTGTTACAAAATTCTAATGTTGCATCAGATCTTTTAGGTGCACAGGATCTCTTTGCAAGTACAAAACATTCAAACACATTTAAATAGTTAAAATCCAAGGATGTTTGCAGTATGGAAGGCCATTGTCCTGTAGCCTGCTTTTAAATCCATGAACATTTGTATTTCTAACAATATTTCTGGAGTTTTCATCCAGCAAGCATATTTTATAAAATAATCCTTGCATTTGATATTGTGTCTTTCATGTGTAGAGGATGTCTCAAAGTGCTTCACAGAATTTATTGTACAGTGCATTAGCTGTATATTCTGTAGGTGAGCATCAAAATTCATTTAAGGTTTTAATGAAAAATATCTTGGGAGTCTATATATTTCTCCACGTCACTGGTGATGTTTCCTCTTGCTTTTCTGGCGATACACACTACAACTATACCAGTGACCCCTTAGCAATGTGCAAAATCTATCCTACACAATATAAATTTGTGCTCTGGGACCCTACCCCGGTGAAGGGCGCTAGATAAATGCAAGTAGTTGTTGTAAATTTATATAAATTTGGGGCAGACATTCAAAGGTGCTCGACAGTCCTGGCTTGGCAGCCGAGCTGAGAGTGGGAGCTGAGTGGGGAGGGGAAAGATAACAACTAGCTTTATATAGCATCCTACACGCAAGTAACAACTTAGAGTGGTGTGGTTTAATACCGAACTAGAAAGAGAGGGGAGGTGTCCGAAGGCATGGTCGAAGAGTAAAGTCAAAACTGAGAGATTAAGGCAGGGAGTTGCGGAAAATCAGGGCATAGTGGCTGAAAGCACGGCTGCGGATGGTGGAGGGGAGGGGACAAAGGATGTATAGAAGACATGTGGGACCTCGAGTTGGATGGAGATAGAGGAGTAGAGGAGAGACAGCTGAAGGCCTTGAGTTTTGAAAGCAAAGAGGGGAGCGGAGGAATGTCAGGAAAGAGTTGTAGAAGACAGGAGCAAAATGACTGAAAGCTTGGCTGTAAATAGTAGGGTAGAGCAGGTGGGGGCATGAAGCAGGCAGAGTTGGAGGAGAGTAGGGAGTGGTCAGGGAGTGAGATCGCAGTAATCCTCCAAAGCACATGGATCTTACAGTCAATCCGTGAAGAGATAGCAAATGCAAAATGGTAGGATACATAAATCTCAGATAAGCAACAAATAAGTGCTTTGAGACGTCCTCCCAATGTGAACGGTGCTGTATAAATGTAAATTGTAAACTAACATTCACATTCAAAAATAACCACAAATGGTTCTGAAGATCAGTGATGTGGCTGTGTGAACACTATATCAATAAAAGTTGCTAATTCCTATGTGTAAGAGAATATTTTAACCTTATTATTTCTACGGTACATGGCCCCCCTCCCTTGCCTCTTGCAAGACCCATCTCAAGACCCTCCTCTTCGACCGTGCCATCAGTCACCATCCTACTTCTACCCTCCCCACCTTCCACCCCTCGGGTACGGATCCCTGTCTGTCCAATGCCATGGGACATCCTCCTGATGTGAAAGGCGCTATACGAATGTAATTTGTTGTTGTTGTTGAAATGACCAGTGGTTTTCAGATGAATTATTATCTTAATGATTGGAATATTGTTGTTTTCAGAGAAACCAGAATCAGAAACGGTGTAGTGTCTGTAAATATATTTGGCAGCAGAATATCTTTAAGACAAAAGATAAATTACAAATGTTTTGCAAAACTATCATCATGCTTCACATAGATGCAATTCTCTTTTGATGATTTGCCATGAAACACTCATTATAGTGCTTAGCTCATTTTTGCAGATTAAGTTCAAGACACACAACCATATCCTGGGATAGACGCAATATTAAATTTAGTCCAAAATGCATATTGCAATATGCAGCATATATTCACATACTACAAGATTTTTATAGATTTAACCAACATCAAAGCTGCAATTGGAATTTTAACAATTTAAAAATAATTTCTTTTCAAACACAATGGTTAGAGTTTGTCTAGATTGCATGCCATGAGCACTCAAGTGAGGTGAATTCAGTTGCCGTTATATGTTTTGCCAAAGAGATGCCTCTTGCACTGGAATAGTTAGGCTGGATAAAATTCCAGAAAGTAAGCCAATTCTCTCTTTTGCCTAAAAAAATCATACTTTATATGCAAGCAAAAAGATCGGCTGATCTGTGTGCCACACATATTTTATGATGTAAATGAAAAACAAATGTCTCAATTCAAACCCAGATTAACATAATGGTGCATTTATACCATACACGTTTGGACAATTGGTGTGATTTTGGTAAAGAATTGTTGTGTAATGCATAGTTATAAATCAAAGTTGATCCAGTGGGAAACATGTTGGAACCCTGTTCCGGGTGTTACCTGAAATATCTGAGTTGTAGAAGTGGACCACTGTGGTATAAAGACAGCAGGTTCAATCCAATATCAGATATCCTTTCCCATATTTCAGACAACCAGCTCTTTAATAACAGCAGAAAATGAACAATCAACTGCATAGTTCCGTGCATGTGATCACAGCCCTAATAAGAGTGATAGGTATAAATTAGGCTTCCCAAATTTCACATGGCTGTACTGCTGGAAGCAACGTTACTTTGCTTCCAGCAGCCTAAACACAGCAATATTTGTAGAAAGAACGACCACTTATCTTGACTCTGCACTATTCCTTACACATACAATACGAAAAATGTCACTTATGTAGTGCCAGAATTCCACAAATACCTTTAAAAAATAAAATTGTACTTTTCATCTGTAGTGCCATTAGAAAAATGTTAACTTTGCAGATGGACATATAAATAAAGGATTTGTGTTAAGCAAAAGGAGAAAGAAACTCAATTCAGATATTGTTCATATGTATTGCAGTTAAATCTTATTATTTAACATTGAACCCTTTACTAATGGATTAAATACTTTGTTTTGAATAAAAATCTCAAAATTTGTGATGGCACACTGTGTTTCTTGCACTGGAGTATTTTTCAATGGACAGTTTGTGAATATTTGCCATCTATGATTTATATTTCATGAAGATCCAGGCATTAGGCAAGTTCTGCACAGCTTTAATATCATGAGAACATAATTTTAAAAAAGTAACAAAAATGCTTTATACAACAATAAGCAGTGTGTACATTTTCAAACAATGTAGAGAATGCAATATTGTACAACATTTACAGATGCTGTATTGAATTAGAAAAATCAAAATAAATAACCAAGTAACGAAAGGAAATGGCGCTCTCGTGGCTGATCCCTTTCTAATCTTCAGAAAGCAGATGCTTAGCTGTGGTTGAGGGGGATGGCTAGGTTGAGTTGTTTTTCTTCTTTGAAATCAGGTGGTAGCTGGAAGTCTGACTTGAATCTTCTTGCAGCTCCTGATACTGCACCTGTTTAAACATACATTTTGAGAAACCAATCAGTTAGGTGGCCTTTTACTGGCAGGAAAAAGACCGTGAAGGATTGGAATTGTAGATGGGAAAAAGAAAGCAGTCCCTTGAAGGCTGTGTCAGTAGCACAGCTGGACTGAAGACAATAGGGTGAAAGAAATAGTGGAAAGGGAAAAAAACAGCACTGAGGAAACTTCTGCCAGGAAACACAGTGTCGTATGTATGCAACATTAAGACTGTGTGTGTGTTCCTGAGAAAATAGAACAGAGAAAACAAACATAATCTGTTCAAAAGGCTGTTTTTAAACTAAGGATCTTAAGCCCAGTGAATGATTATTTCCATTCTAGTTGTGCTTGTGAGTTTATAGAACTCAAGATCTCAGAGTTGGACTGTCTTTCGTGGCACTGTCTCTGTGTACTTAGAGCAATTAACCATTACTTCATCTCAGCCCAGCCTTCAATCTGCACAAATGTCCTATAATGTTCTGCAGATGCCTAACAAGTACTTATGTAACCAAAGAATAAACATTTTATTTAGTTGCAAAATATAGTACAACACTTTAGATCAAAGCTATCTCTCTAAAAGAATTAGAACTTCTGGCTTCAATTTCCTTATTTAACTTTTATATAATTAATGCGTGATTTAATTAATGCTTTGTAAAGTACTGAACCACTGAGCTGTTAGTCAATATGCCCCTGTCCTCTGCAACTGTCTTCCAAAACCTCTTTTCCTTGTCTCCCTTTTTCCTGCCTTCAAAACCCACCTAAAAACACATATTTGATTGTGCTTTTGTTTACATCCTTAGTTCTTCCTTTTCCCTATCATATTTGTTAAGTGCTTCGAAATGTACATTCTACGTAAAAGTGCAACAGTCTGTAAAAGTATGCCCACATTTGCCAACAGAATCAGTCACTACACTTGACAGTAAAAGTATGTAATGGGTTTAATTATGTGTGACTGGTTGCCTTTTTAACTACACTGTACCTAGAATGATACAACATTTGCAGAATAGATAGATGCCTTTCGATTCACCATTCTAAAATAGACAAAGGATTGAACCAACCTTAATAATAATCCTTGCATTTGATATAGCGCCATCATGTCATCAAGACAGTTCAAAGTGCTTCACAGGATATACTGTAAAGTGGATTGACTGTATATTTTGGGGGTGAAATGTTCTGAACGTAAAACAAAGGTTTTCTACATATATTGAATCAGTATACTTTTTAAAAAGTCATCCAGTCTGTAACTTGAACTCTCAACTCAAAATGAGATAAGGTCATTAGTGATGCATAAAGATTTTTCATGCATATGTCTTATCATGCACAATCTTGCATGGATTTGAAATTGAAGATTCTTCAGGTGAATGTTAAAAGTTGCCATGGTACTACTCAAAAAGAGAAGAACGTTTCTCTTGGTGTCCTGAACAGCAATCCTTCAGATTAGTTTGCTATTTGTCTCATGGCTGTTTGTGGGTCCTTGTTCTGTGCAAAATTGCTGTCACATTTGCCTACAAAACCAGTCACTATACTTGACAGTAATTAATCTTAAGCACTTTGAGAAGTTTCAAAGTGATAAGGTGCCATAAATGCAAGTTCTTTCTTTATCTGGAACCTTTAAAATTCTAAACATTTAGGTTATGAACCATTAGCGTTCAATCAAATGTCTTTAACAAAGCAAGTATTTTATATTATCTTAAACTTTAAATAAAAGCCATCTGATCCCAGACACAATACATTGCTTAAAAACAGAAAGGTGTGTAAATTTTATGATTGGTTTAAAAGGCATAATGTTCTAATTGCACTGTCCATAAAAATGACAGAAAAAATAATGCCTGATAAAGACCTCATAAAATCAGTTGACTTTAACATAAACCACTTGTAATTTCTATCAGAATGTGTATGATGTATCATTAGTGTCTTTCCAACACTTTTAAAAATGAACACTGCGATAATTACATTTTTATTCATTTTTTTAACATAAGTGAATATAAAAATCAGAGACGTTCAGCATCGAACTGACATCATGTAAATTATATTTTGGAACATTTACTGCTTCTGCCCTAATGTCCGATTTTGTTGAGAATCATCTAATTTACTAAAATATCTCTCTCCAAGCAGATCATTGCTGTAATTCTGAACCTGAGTTTCTGCTGATTTTTGTGGCACCTGAATAGATTTGGAAGCAATGATTTTTTTTCCTTTTTGGGAGATACCTGCAGCCTTTCGACGTTCCAAGGCTCAGCGCCTTGGGACATCCTCCGAAGTGAAAGGCGCTTTGCAACTGTAATTTTGTATTGTATTTTGTATTGTTTTATTCATTTTATGTTGGATCATTCCTAGTCGGGGTTTATATATTAGTAATACTTTTTACAATTATTGCTACAATCTCTGTTGATTTTTCTTGACTATTACTGAAAACTATGATTTTTTTGATTGGGCATCACATTCTTATAGATCCAAGACCACAGATTTTATTTTGGAAACTTTTTTGTAATAAACTGTTGCATTTGATATAGCTCCATATCACATCATTGAAACGTCTCAAAGCGCTTCACAGAATATATTGTAAAGTGGATTGACTGCATTTTATTGGAGAAATGTGGCAGCCAATTGTGGACAGCAATGTCCAACAAACAAGTCATGGATTGAGTGACCAATATATTAAAAAAAATTCACCATTTAGCAAAACTAAATAAAAATTCAGTTGGTCTTATTCTAAAGAAAATCTACATAAAGGAGGAATTGAGATCTGAAGGGAGGACATTTATTTAAGACACTTTCCACTTTTAATAGAAAAAGAAAAATCTCATAACTTAATACTTTTTCAAGTGGCAATAACAGATGCTTTGTTGCATATGTGGTACCCTGATAAGACTTATTGGTGATTTCCTGCACTGTCTGCATTACGTTCAGCAGAGATGAACACTTTGGACCAAGTTGAGAGCTGATCTGGTGTGATTGGCAGCTCTGGATTGCTTCCACTATCATTTTAATGGAACTATTGATCTTTGATGTGGGGGAGGGGAGTTCCACTTCCTGTGTAGAAGTGACTGGCTTCTGCTTAGCAAGTGCCCATGAAACATTTGAAACCAGAGACTCAAATCCACATGGCATCACTCTGGTACAGCATGTTACAATAGTACTGAGCAGCCCTCAAGCAAGATACTGCTAAGGCACTGTTTGGGATCCTTGTTAGTGAAAGAAAACAGTAATCGAGATAGATGGAAATAGAACATACCACTTGCACATCGGAGTGAACTCTGGAGAGAAAGTCCAACAGCTCGTTGTTATCAATGAGATATGGATTGCGAAGTTTCTTTGTGAATTTGTGGATACCTGTGAAAAATGTTAGAGGATGTCAGTCTTTTATCAATTTTCTTTGAGCAGGACAAAGACTGACTTAACATTAAGTAGCAAGCAGTACCTTAAAATGAGCAATCTCATTCAGACAGATTATTCTAACAACGTGTTAAAAACTACCATGAATATGTATACAAGCAGGGCAGCTGTTTACCTGCCCTTACACATTTTCCTGTACCAACGTTCCATGCTGAGCGAGGAGTCAAATGCTTCACATATCAGACCACTCTAAGAAACAATTTGCATTTTAAACGTGATATAGTTATTTTTAGTTGAAGCTGTGACACTTGCCAACAGGATCTCGTACCTTATGCTGACCGAGTCTGACTCTTGACTTTTGTTCCTCTTACAGCTAAAACCTACTAACACTAGAGAAACACATAGTGACAGACAAAGCACATAGCGACAGTCCCTGGTACTGTTCTGTAATCCAACAGATGTGATGTATTTGAGAAAATCTAATTTCACATGCCTATCAGGTATCAACCACACCCTCTGAAACAATGTTGCAATATCATGGCCAAATGGCATTCAAGTTATTAGTGTGGGTAATCAAAATGTAACTTTTATTATATATATTATAAAATATTGTTAATTATTTAGGGTATATCTACCCTCATTATGTCTCTCTGCACCATGCAATACTCCCCAGCTAAGAGGATGGAAAGGTAAGCTGCTCTCTATCCCTTAGCCAATGCTGTGTTGGATCAATTGGCTGCGAGCAAGGAAAGGCCTGAGGTGTCTAGGCCTCGGTGAAGATTTTTCTGATTGGGGCTCAGTGCACTCCAATGAAAATGTTCCTGAAGCAGTAATGCATCATGTCGGGAATTGTGACAGCCTTTTGTTCCTTTTATAGCTTTAAATATATTAACCACAGCTACTCCACGCCTTAGTGCACCACAGAATCAATGCACTGCATTCAGTTAATACGATATACTGTTCAAGCCTGCTTTTGAAAGTTGACATCATAACAAAACTATCCTTTTAACTGTGCAGTATGTCAAAAATGTAAACATTTAAACTAAGACTCAATAGAGAAACCACACTCCTAATACTGCTATCTTTCACTTTTAACTGGCTGTTGCAATGTCCTGAAGGGATATTTCAGAAAGTTGAAACATTTAAAGAATGTATATTAAAGCAATTCAATGTTTGGTTGGTTTAAATTGCAATACGGGAATGGAAATAACCTACCAGCAAAACAGCATATACAGTCAATTCACTTTACAGTATGTTCTGTGAAGCGCTTTGAGACGTCACAACGATGTGATAAGGCGCTATATCAAATGCAAGAATTATTATTATTTAGTATTATTATCACTGGGATAACCAGAAAGGGTGAGGTGGAGCCTCATGTATTAATAATAACTATTTAGTATCTTTTGCATAAATAATCATTGCAAAGTGCTTTATGAAGTATAATTGATTAGGAAGTGAAACAGGCAAATCAGCAGCTAATCTGTGCCAACAGGTCCTGTAAGAAAGATTAGCAGCCAATGAATTTGAATTTGGGGATAAATTTGGATAGAAATACATTTGTGTGTTGGATATTTTACCCTAATCTTTTAAAAAATATATATATTTCTAATTGTGATGCATAAATGCTGCCGCAATCTTCTAAAACGATTAAGAACAATTGCAGTATTGTTGGGATCACCTGATACTTCAGTTTGGCAAAAAAAGACCATGATCTTTTCAGCTCTGTGAGAGGCCCATTGAAGCTGATTGAGAATGAATGACCAGCCACGATGTCCTATGAATGATGGTCAATTTGGTCTCAGACCTGATTACCCACAGATTACTATTGTGATGAGTTAAACAGCTGGATATTGGGTACCTTCACAACAAAGAAAATAATTGTAAAAAAGAGCAGTCCATTATTTGACTTGCTCCATGGTAACAAACCTCCCACCAGTCAAGCTGTAAAATGACACTCATTAGCTCGGAAGGGTTTCTGAGCTGTTGCCTTAGTCCTACTTGCTGCAGAATGAGGTAAAATACTATGATTGAGACAAAACTTTAATACTACACATCATATTTATGCTCCTTTGAAGCAGACAGCTGATGTGTACAGTACTAATGGTACAATCATGACTACTGTGCTGAAGATTTTCTGCTAATGTGCCTTTTCTGTTCAAGTTACATTTACAGCAGCATCAAACCTAGATAACAGTCTTATCATGTCAAACACTACTGAGATGTCAAATTAAAGATAACCATTTTCATAGAAAAAGAGCTGCTTAGGTGTGTCAGTTGTTGATGAAACAAGATAGGGCTGAGCTAAAGAAAGGCCACCCAGTATATCATAGTTAAATCCTATGCTAAAATTATTGTTTCCTGCCTACCATAGCTTTGTGCAAAAGCTGTTGTGTACAGAATCGCTGCCATGTTGCCTACAAAAATAGTCATTTTACACAATGAACGCACTCTTAAGACATTTACATGTGAAAAGTTTCGATAAAAATGAAAGTTCTCGTTTGCACTTGTAAATGGTGCATGTGCATAGAGAGTGTGTAAGAACAGGGAACATAATCAGGCTGGGCATGAAGAATGGTCAAATGGATAATATTTTGAGCCTCTGGAATCATAGCCTGCGTCAGAGTCAGTGAACTCCCAGGAGAGGAGGTGAGAAAACGATGAACAAAAAGAACAGGAATTTCTGATGCATGGATGGGCCACAAGGACCTTTTTGATGTACACAACTGCAGTTGCCTGGCTTCTCACCATCTATTAAACGGTTCAGATACACATTATATTCCCTCTTGAATCCATTTATCTTCTCTGCTTCAATGGACCTTCCTGTTGATTTATTACACAAGTATATTAACCTACATGTAAAAAGTTCCAACTTACTACCCTTACTCCTAATTACTTGTTTGAATCCTTCACAAAGAGGTATTCTATCCTGAGGACATCCCATGCAAGTGATATAAGGGGTTTCAATGCGATTTATATCACTATGTTGTATGTTTGATAACTACCGAAGGAAAAGATTTGCGAAAAAAAAATTTCACGAATGTTTTAATGAGCTTGCCTCACAGTAATTAACGAAAAATCAGATTTTTCCTGCCAAATTATTCAATTCACATTTATATCTAATATAGCACCATTACAAGTAAAGGTTAAAATTGACGTCGAGTAGAGCCATATTCACAGAAGGAAGAACCAAGAGATCATAATGATAGGGACAGGATGTTAAACAGAGGAATAGCTTTGAGGTTACAAGAATATCTCCAGGAGATGAGAGAAAAACCGACAACAAATTTACACTTATATAGTGTATTTCATTTAGGATGAAAATCCTCAAGAAATTAAAAGTTGGAGATGGAGAAGGATAGAGGCATTCAATCGTAATATCAAGTCAATGAAAGCATCTTGTTCAGCTGATATTTAAAAATCCCTTCCCCTTGTTATTAGTCTGAAAAATAAAGGATAAGTCTGGGAATTTATAGGGACACATCCAAGAAGTGGAGAAGGACAAAGGCAGCAAAATAGCAGTCAAGCAATATAAACAAATACAAACACAGTGAGAACACCAGCATTAATGGTAATAAAATACAGCTAGAAAGTAATAATAATACTTGCATTTCATAAAGGGGGTTTCACATTGGGAGGATGCCTCAAAGCACTTCGCAGGATTCACTGTAAAGTGTAGTGACTGTATTTTATGATTTCAAAGTCTCGATATGGGGCTTAAACCCACAACCTTCTAACTCAGAGGAAAGAGCCAGGCTGACATCTTAACAAATAACTAATAACAATCAATTGAAGCAGAAGTGGGGAAAAAATAATTTATTAAACAGAAACAATTATAAATACCAACCATAGGAAAGAAAGAGTGAAAAAAAACATGATGGATAATGAAAGTAGAGAATAAGAAGGCAAGAGAAATAGATTAAAAGAGACTGATCTATCTAATAAACAAAAAGCAAAATACTGCAGATGCTGGAAATCTGAAATAAAACAGAAATTGCTGGGAACATGCAGTAGGGTCAGGTTAGTTAACGTTTCAGGTCGATGACCTTTTGTCAGAACGGTTCTGACGAAAGGTCATCGACCTGAAACTTTGACTCATTTACCTCTCTCCATAGATGCTGCCTGACCTGCTGTGTAATCCCAGCAACTTCTGTTTTTATTATTGATGTATCTAATGCTGACTGCACTAAGTCACAGTGAAAAGATTGCTAGGTTTTAGTGATAATAAATCCAGACGGAAATAAAGATGAAAGAGTAAGTAAGACGAAAGTAAGTCAAATGCAATAAAACTTTTTTTAAAAAAAGGAAAGGAAAGAAAGAAATGTGATTGAGCGCTCAGAAGCGTAGCTCTAGATATTATTCCAAGGGCGGTGGTTATTGTGTCCAATAACTGAATTTAATCTGTCAAAAATTAAGCCTTCTGCTGAATTCTGTTTTTTTTAATTAATAATGAATAAATGTGTTTATTGCTATATTCACTGATAAATATAAATATTTGTTCAGTGTTTTTGTGTGTGGAGGTTGATTACTACCAGGTCATGCAGTACGACAGTTGACCCTTAGCGACCCCTAATGTCCAGCAGGGAGGATGTCGCTCATTTAGCTTACTCTGGTTGAGCTCGTAACAAAAATAAATGATTAAAGGCTTCATGAAAAAGTGTTTGGCAAAGCTTTTTTCTTTTTCATTTGCAAACACACTACATTACAGCAAAAAAGCCCCACTGAGGAACATGATATTGGGATGAGAGACAAACATGACCATTCTGACTCATGTCTCTCCCAAAGCAAATTGGAAAGGGTCATTGAACATATTTTTTATGAAGTTAGTGCTACTTTAATCACAGAGCAGGAGGTGGGATATGGCATATATCTCCTGTAGTCTTTTAAATCTGTCATTGGATTTAAGATGAGCGTACTGAAAATAACTCTGATTCAAGAAATATTTGTCTCCATTTGTAACTTCACTTGTAACAGAACTTGCTGACAGAAAATGTGCTGTTGTGTGTCAATCAGCCATCATAATTCAGTTGCTGAAACTAACACTACAACAAGTACATCAGTCAGGCACACTTTGGCTTCTGTCCACTGTAGCTATATTCCTTCAAACTGAGGCAGGTTATTTAACAAAATAACTTCATGCAAATATTGTTAAAGAAAATGAGCCCAATTACTGTTCATTCCTTGTGATAGCTTTTAACAGTTCTTTTAATGTGAATCATCTGCATAATTTAATTCATTTACTGATCGAAGCCTGTTTGGTCCTGTTGCTTTCATTTGTAGGCTGTTTCATCTTCTGCTTATATGTGACTTTAATCTCCCAGAGTAATTGTAAATCAGGTGAACACGTGATAAGACAAGCCACACTTCAAATTAATCTGCTATTAAAACATAAGGCAATTTAAATGTTCACATAACTGCAGGGCCCAGCCTGCTTGGTTGTGCAGAAGATGCTAAATATAGCTACAGGCAGTATCCATGTAACAAACGATTAAGCCCTATAGCAACAGTGATAAAAAGTGATGAACTCGTAGTGAAGGAAAAATCATGCCCCGCCAATTCATCCCTTGCACCAACAAAACTGCAATGAATGCTTAAGTAAAGAATCAGATTGAAGGAAATATCTTTGAACCCAAGTTCAAAACTTTCTATTAGTACAAAGAATATTATTATAACAATGCAAATCATAAAGCAAATTCACATACAATTACCGAACTATATAGTTATCTTTGACCTGGTACAACTAAAGCAATTGCACAGTATCAATATGCCACAGCCATCATTTTGTCTAGAATAACCTTTCCAAATGGAATCTTGTAAAAATAAATAAATATAATCAAAGCATATAGTACAAGAACTGGGGCAAAAACACTTACATTTTATAAATTAACTTAGCCCTGGCTTATTCCTTTCCACGTTTGCCAGCCTTTAAGGCCTTTACCAGACACTGTCAATACTGCCGCAGGGTAAACCTGTGTAAACCGGTGATACTAATCACATTAAAATGTGGCACTTTACACCCCCACATAGCAACCCATTTATTTTGCCCTACAATTTAAATCAGGGTACCAATTTTTCATCTTACATGAAGACATGGACAGAGTATTACTGCAAAGCAAATTAACAACAACTTGTATTTATATGGCACCCTTCACGTGAGGTTGCGTTTTGGTGCCCTTAATATCATAAAACAAAGGCACATTCAATTACTTATAATTGCATAGAGGTAGAATTACACATAGTGTATATATAATTATAGTGAATGAGAACTCTTTCTCGAAACTGATTCCCTTCTAAGAAAAGACAGAGCCGTTACTGCTCTTGCCCTCTCACCTAATACCTCTCTATGATAATCCACAGGCGGTAGGAAGGCTAGATGAATGCTTGTTTTTCTTCCTTCCCAGAGATAGAGTATCTCCTCCCTGTTTTGAGCTAGTAAGGTAAAAAAATACTGTAGAGAACTGAAGTAATTTGCTGGCTCAATGAATAAACGATATAGAAGTAACATCTATATAATATTTTACATAATGTTCATTTCATCAACTTCTTCAGACATGTGATTCGAACAGTCAAACCCTGTTTAAATACCACCCTTTTCAGTCACTGACCAAACAGAAAGCCTCTGTCACAAAAAATAGAATCCATCGGTAGAATATGGGCTCTGGTGGCAGATAGTTTAACCACAACTGTTTAAGTGCAGGCCAGGAGCACTATTATTTTATTCTATAAAAATGTCACTCAAGGTTAAAGTTTTATGCATAAAAGGTCCAGAAAGAACATTTTCAGTTCAACATATGTCCTCTAGATACAGATAACCACATAATTATAAAAGTATAGTTCACTTTTTAGTGAACTCTTCCATTTTATTACCGCGAACCTGCCTCCGAGTCCACTCTTGACATCACTAACAAGGTGGAGTTTTATCCTCCTTGGGGGGAGCGGGGAGGTAAGCGGATTTCCTTGGAGCTGAAATGGCTCCAAGGTGACATGCTTGGCAACAGAATGCTAGAGTTGAGCCAGGCCTCTGTGGCAGTCTGGGAAGTCCAGTTCTTGAGCGGTCCATGGTGTTCTGGGGCACTGCTGATGACAGCAAAGCCAGATGGGTGTATTTTAGAATACCTTCACTGAGTAGATCGGATCAGGTTCTTTGGATCAGCCTGATACTGATGAATGCAACAACATTCAGCCAGTACCTTGTTTTCACAGGGCTGCATGTGTCCTGAATGCCTTATAAAGGTTAAACTCAGTTGGAGCCTCTCCGAGATGAATGCACACGGTTCCTTCCCATCAGTGATGTTACTAGAGCAGTCCAGGAATGGTCACAGTGAATCCTGGTATTAAAGAAAAGTGAAGCTTCTTCACTTCAAGACATTTCCCTCTCTATAGCTAGCTAGTTCAACTTTAAATGGAAAGTACTCCCTTATACAGCTTCCTTTGATAATAGGGTTGACGGAGGCAGATTGTGCTTAGTAAAAATGCATGTAAGCAAAAGAATTTGAAGCATCTGAGTCAACAGCAACAAACAACAATTTGCATTTATATAGCACCTTTCACGTCGGGAGGACGTTCCAAGGTGCAAAGTAAAAGTACTGCATTGTTAAGACAACCTTATTTATAAGGTCCAATGTTCAGTTAAAAGAGTAATTTGATAATCATACAGTAGTCAAAAACCTTTGAACTTTTTTTTAGCAATGTTATGGTACATTAACATTTCCCTAAATTCAGTGATGTCTGCCTAATTTTGGTAGCTGACAATTTTAAAATATGTTCCATAGCTGACATGAAATCATATAATGCCAGTCATTTTCTCTCTGTTTGATTGCCTCCCATTGTTCCTCAGATTCTCTCTCTCTCACTCTGAGTCCCTCCCCCCGTTTAACACCTTACTGTTAATAAAAGCTTACTTTCAGACTACTGACAAAAAAACAGTATGTTACACGCACAAGAAATGGGAAATGCTACTTGGCATATTATTGATCCGCAGTGTTGAGGAAATCGCATCCCTCTTAACCTTGTGCACGTAAGTTTTACAAATGTTAATTTTTGGGGGGGATTTCTAACAGTGTTCTATTGGTTTTGATTAGCCTGCGAATAAGTATAGCAAATTTGAAGTTTATGTTGGGGGAAAAAAATCGCCTTATATTCAGAACAATAAGATACATTTCCATACAGATTCAAAATAATGTTCATACCTGTTAAGAGATTGTCGCTTAGTTATTACAGCAACTGTTTCATTTTCTGAAATTAACTTTGATCTAAATGTATCAGGTACAACTTGGCTACATCAATTATTTTTCAAATTCAAATTTTCCCATTACTGTACTTATGCAACGCAAGTTTTTTCCCCTCAAAACAATAAATTGGTTTTGTGAGTGTTGCACAATATACAATACTCGCAAATGATTAAAATTACCTCTTGACTGCCTCCAAGGAGTATGTCAATTTCCTTGCATTCTCTGTTAAAATTGCATTGGGATGTTTCGAACATAGATCAGGCTCTAAGTACTCATTTGCTTTGCCTTCAAACTGTGCCTAGTCAAATGTGGTAGGGGTGGCTGTTAGCAAGTTACAAAGTGGTAATTAACTGACTGATTCTGATGGCATCATAAAGATGATGCAAGTGTGAAGCTTGTACAATTAGCAAAATCCAAAAATATTTAATTATTCCCTCTAATTTACAGATACCTATTGGGATATAATGCAGTGCTTCCTTTATTAAACAATCTTTTAATTTTTAACTTTCCTTACTGGGGCATAATGTTTGGGCACAGTGCTACATGATGAAAGAACAACAAAGACCATAATGATAAAGATATATATGGCATCAGCTAACTGACACTATAATATTAATGGGAAATATACTGAACATACATTCCAGTACAAAAAATGTGTTTTTTAAATATATTTCCAATACACAAAGTTTTTACAAACAATGTTAGACACAACTTGGAAAGATTAGCAGTATAGACATCAAATTTTTCCTTTATTATTCTCTGCTTATTTGAGTAAGACCAAATAACACATTATTTAAACCCATTTACCTACTGTTTCTAATATTCCAGTCTCAGAGCTTGTTCGCATTAGTGTAATAGCTACTAATTAACAAACAGCTCCTTTACCAGTGGTATCAACAACCGTTGACAGCATAATAAATCCTATGATAAAATACATAAAAGGTGGCATATAAAATGTAAGAAAAGCCATTACCTACCCCAGATAAGAATAACATATCTCAGTGGAACGAAATAAATAAGTAAGGTGCCAACTGTAAGGACAAATACGGCCAACCAACTCAGGAATGGAACAGTCCAGTTGAAGGTACTTTAACAGAAAAAAAAACTGGTTAGTGAATGAAAGGAATTTGAATCAGATTATATACAAAGATGAATCAAAGCAATCATGCTAAAATAGTGCATGAAGATTTAAGAGTGACCAACAATAAGCATAAAAATACAGTTCATATAAGCACATTTAAGGGTTAATGCTACATTTGGGTCTTATTTGTGATATTTTTTAATTGGAGGCTGAATTTCTGTCACCTTCCCCTATGGAACAGAGTTCTTATTTCTGTTCACTGGAAGGAGTTCTTAATTGTTTGAGATTATTGAGATTGAGATTAACCTGAGATTATCTATTAAGAAATCCACATATAAATCCATTACAGCCTTAAAACAAACCATCTATTTCACATACTACATTTTCTCAAAGATTACATATATGAGAGAACTGTATGATCACCATAAGGGAAATAGTAAATAGAAGGTACATTTTCACATTATCTGTTCAGTTCAAATGGAATGATGTGTTTCCAGATGATCATAACAGTTCAGTCCTTTACTGTGTTCCAGGTGTAACATGGAACACAATTCTATCCACTGCTTTTATTTATTGTTTCTTGTAGCAGCAATACTATGAATGATTCGTTCAGTCTACAATAAAATATTTAAAAATGTACTGAATAAAGACAGAAAGAAAAAGCAGGGGGAAAGTCCTGCATATTCATAAATATTATTTTATTTAAGTAGTATTGCTAACCCCGACACATTTTGTTTTGATAATTTAGGTCACTTCCTGTTAACAATCATCAACACTGTGTCAATCCCTGTCTCTTTCCACATGTTTATTGCACAAATGCCCTCTGCCTTGAAACTAAAGGACAAATCCACTTTATACTTCGAAAGCCATAAGCTTTTAAGTCAGTTTTTAGGAAGATGAATTACAACGGAATAAGAAGTTCAGGTCCTCATTGTAAAAGGCTGGAGTGAGGAGAGGTAACTAATGACAGGACCTGGCAATACATCATCCTGAATTGGTCTTCACTGCCAAAAATGTAGCCTTCTACGTCTAGCTCAGAAAGCAATGTGCAGCTCTCACAGAAACAGCCAAGAACATTGTGGCAGGACTCACTTTTTTACTCTTTCATAAAGAGAAGCGGCTTCATCCAGGCCATTCTGGACAGTTACACAGATATCCTGGATGGCATATAATTTATCTATCAACCCTTTTCTTTCCGTCTCCTGAGGATAAAAAGAACCATAATAAATCATGAGTTTGCTGTAGTCAAAGGCAACAAATTATACACTGCAATGCTAATTGACAAAGGTTTAAACTTTTTCTTTTCATCTTTATGGAAACTGCCACATTATAAAGGTTTCACCGCAACCCAGATGGGATAATAAATAAAATGAATGTTTAGTTGAATCTATAAAATAAAATCACAGAGATCATGAAAACCATAGATTTTTAAATTATAGTTTGTTTTTTCTTGGAAAAGGAGGGTCAATGATTAGTCAATTCTTATAATTGTTAAAGATTTTAGAAATTCAATAATTTATAATTGCTCCTTCATGGGCTCGCTCGTCTTCATAGTATTATATCATTCCAGGGCCACTACAGTCCATCAGTCCCTTTTTCTCTCTGTCCCTTGCCTTTTGTCCTGATGGGAGAAATTCTGGTTAACAATTTTTAAGAGTTAATGATGGAATTAGGAGAGTAAAATAGCGCAACCTGTGCTAAAATGGTAACAAAATTCCGTAGGCCTTTTCTGTCGGTGTAAAAAAAATTACATTATCATTGGAAAAAAACTTAAGTGGTCCTCATTAACGTGTGAAGTACAGACCAGCATTAATTTGCTGTGCAAATTCTGTTGTGTTAGATTGCTTTAAGACCTTTTCTGATTTATGGCTGTTATGTGTTGGAATAAGCATGCATCAGGTTACTGTATGGTAGATTCCCTTACAATGGGGTACAAGTTCATTAATTTAAACAGTCTTTTCAGATCTTCCTCTGCACAAACAACGTTTTGCACCTAGAGTAACATCTCACAGTTTCATAATCTTTCTTAAGAAGGAATAGATTTGGAGGAGGTAGAACTTACAGGACTGTCTACTATTAATAAAAAACTATTGGACTCAAGAAATTATAATTTATTGGTGTATAGGACACTAGTTCAGATCTGTTCAACCTTGACAATCAAGGGCAGTGGTGGCCAACCCATCGCCTGTGGGACGGAATTTGCCTGCAGGGCATTCAAGAAGTGGCCCTCCGAACAATTGCACTTGTCTAGGTCAGACTGTTTTAAACCAATGTGTGGTTTCTAGTTTTTTCTTGATTGAATATTTCTTGATTTTGCCACCACTGATCTAGGGATGTTACTCTTTCATCAATTGAACAGATTCTGTTAAACATTTTAGGTTAGCCCAGCTCATCTGCTTCAATACAATGCAAATGTGCAAAATGTCTGAACAATAAACTACACAAATCATGTTTGTGGATGGGGTCACCTTACCGTTAGTTACTTTAGAAAGGGCGTTTTTATCTCATGGTGGAAAATATTCTTCAAAATGTGTGGAGTTACTTGCCGACTAATGGTTATGTCATATTTTCCAATGTTGCTCACTATCCTGCCATGTGATGGATTTGTCAAACCACTGTGAATGTACCCTAGCATCCTTTGTACAATGTACATTCAGATCCTACGGGGATCAACTTTCCCCCCAGGAAAGGCTTCACAGTTGCTGATCCCATCTCGGAACTATTGCCTTAACTTCAACTACCCAGATAGAATTGTCAAACACTCAAAGTAATGGTATTTGACTCAACTACTAGGGGCAAATGGCTGTTCTCGACAATGGCATTCAAAACGGGCAGTAGCAGTGGAGCAGCGGTGGGAGGAAGGGGCACTTAAAAGCACTTAAATAAACACTCAACACCAAATGACACCAAACATGCTGAGACCCTCCATGACAAACACGTGATTCTTGGCCCAGCGATTTATAGCATTTTATCAACATATAGTACATTAATTACACTACTGTAGCATCAGGTCATTCTTTTTGTTTTATGTACAGAAATGAATGAGGCAGAATGTAAGTCCCCCCAAAAAAACTTGACAATTTGCTACATCGGTTGTGAATTTGGCTGTGACGCATTATAATTGCAAAATGCCTGAAAGCCTCACACTTCTGGCTTTATTTGATTGCCTTAGCTCCTTTGAAAAGTGAAAATATGGAGAATATTCTAAGTGAAGATCACTAACTCATCTGAATTGTTATCCTCCATACTACCACAAGGTACGGTGCTATGGTCTTGGAACATTTGTTTTGTGGTTTTTAGCCTGGTAAAAAGCTAATAAAATGTCAAGGATCTTAACCTGGTGCCCTCACTAATCTTTTTTCATGAAAAACAGACTGTTGTTTGACAATGCAATTACAGTGGTGTTAAATAATGTAATATAATAGGTATTAGGTTTGAATCGGATTTCTTTAAATGGATTGAGTTTGACTTTTTAAGTATCTTGATCGAATTGGTATAGCACGCACCTGTGCAATTCTAATGGGCAGAATCACAATTCAGTGTAGTGGGGAAAAATGATTTTAAAATGATCAAGTTTCATCTGGTTAAGAAACAGTGGAACTGGAAGAGTTAGGGTCATTAATTGTTAGTCAAAAGATGCTCTTTATTACAGATATGAACACGGACAGTTTTTTTCAATTACCACAGCAAAGCAGGATTAATTAACATTGAAGATAAATAATGCTGCCTTCGATTACTATTTCAGAAATGTAATAGAAAGCTTGCTAAATGTGAAGAAGGAAATTAATTTGTAACGCCTACAGAAACAGTTGTTGCCGTGGGTAAAACCTCGGTTATTAGAACTCTTCTTTTAATTCGCAAAATGCTAGTAAATGCTTTGAAAACATTTCCTATCATAGTGTTCTCTTTTATGACATCAACCATAGCTGCCTTGCAGAACACAGCATTTGATCTGATGAAATGTTCACAGGCAGACATTTGCAAGCTGCTTACAAGCTCTGTTCCCATTGTTCACCTTCTGTAATGTTTATATGTGAGTTTTTTCTGAGTAAATGCCCCAAAGTGAGTCCTCTGTGACAATTTTCAAGGATAAACAAGGATCACACGGTAGGATCCCGAGGCTGTTTCTCTTTACAAATATACTACAACCTGCAGTTTTCTCACAAGTGCATCTGTTTCAAATTAGGTCTTTGTAAAACTGTTCAAAAATTCAGCAGAGCTCTAAGGAAATTTGTTGACATTTTCTTCACAAGGCATAGACAAAATAGCACAGGAAAGAGGAGGCGGTCAGTGGGATCAGGGTTCGGCTTTACTTAAACCAATTCCACATGCTCCTAAACCATTAGCTGTTTTCTATTTCCTGTGCTGAAGGCTTATAGGAAAATAATCTAGGCAGTGAAGGGTTCTGCTTGTTTTTCTTCAACAAGCTGCTGTGTTAGCAAATAGAATTGATAAGACACCTTTGAACAAGCACGGCTCTCACTAATCCAGTTTGAAGCACTACTGGTATTTCCTTTCCAATCCAAGTTGTCTGCTAAATGGAATCAATTTCAACACTTTCTCACTACGATAGGAAGTTTCTGTTAATAATCATCCACTTAATAGAAAGGAGGGTATACTCTACAACTGTTTAAATGACATTTCATTGATTGCGTTTTCTTTTACCCACAGAATTTAGAAATCACTTCGACAAAATATTGGTGTCACTCCAACTGTTCAGAATTAAAGATTTTTTTTAAAAAAAATTCAAAAACAGAAATTGAAATCAAGATAAATTATTTTCAGCAGTTTATTAGCATGCTGAGTAACAGAGTTAATGATTTATCACTAGTATCCATCACAAGCACAATTTCAGCCTTTTAGACTTTTTTTTACCCTTTACATTGGACAAATAATGAAATAATTTCTCTTGCACCACAGAAAGGAATGAAAGGCATAACAGTGGATGGAATCAAAAGAATGCTCATTGCAATTTTTATGTTTTACTGTAGACCTGATTACCTCGTCGGTAACCACAAACAGCTTTGCTGAATCTTCTAATTTCCGACCATAATTTACACTTATATTTATTTACGCTGCTCTTTAACTGACCACTAGGGGTTGGGATGAAAGAGCCCTGGGAAATGATTCAGCCTTTGCTTTTCCATCCCTCCATGGGACAGTGCTTTATGACTAATGAGACCATTTCAGGCAGTGATTCATCCTCACGATTCTGCTGATGTACCTAAGCTGTTCTTGCTTAGCTTTTGTGGTTTATAACATCATCACAACTACTTGACTGAATTACTGCCTTGTAACTCCTTGCCAGATACCTATTACTTCACATGCATTTATTGTTGAACATTAATTAAAACGTAAGCAACATTATGCACTCCTTATTCAAAAATATTTTTTTTAAGAAAGGGAAAACCTTTAAAAACTATACACATTGCCATCAGCTCTGCTGATGTAACTAGTGATCTAACAAGTCTAAATTGCAGCAATTTGTGATGGATTCCTAATCACAACCTTGATTTGCAAATGGGGACTCCTTCGAGTAAATGTGCAGATAGACCACATTGATCAATGGAAATCCTTCACTGACCCAATCTATTTCCAGACCGAAATTCCCACATGTCAACATTCTGGTTATTGGTAGGTGTGCCCATTTTGTGACTTGCAGTGAACAATAATAATCCTTATGTTCTGATGAAGGGTCGTGGACCTGAAACGTTGAATCACTTTCCTTTCTCCATAGATGCTGCCTGACCTGTTGATTGTTCCCAGCGACTTCTGTGTTTATGTTTAATAATGCTTGAGTTTGATATACCTTTCATGTCAGGCTTCACTGTAAAGTGTAGTGACTGTGCATTTTAAAATTTGTTAGGTTTTGTCCCCAATGTGTCAGAACATTGAAAGTAATTTCAGGGAAAGCCGCAATCTAGGATTAGTTTTTAATACTCTAAGCACCAGCGTATTTAAAGGTCACAACATTAAAAAATACTCCAAAATATGCATTAGCTTAAAACATGCTCAAGCTTCTGTCGATGTTTTTGGACAATCTGACATAGATCATTTATTCTGCACCAGTATCATCAACAACAAGTGCAAAAGGACAGATGTTCTACTGATTTTAAAAATAACACTAGCTCACATACATTTTTAACAAATAATCGTTTCACTCATGTACTGGTGGTGCTGTGGCACCTTTCAAGCAATTAAA